CGTCGGCAACCATTCCCCCACATGTTGGGATTCAGCATGGAATGGTTTGTGTCAAATATTTTCCTAAAATTCAAATATTTCTTATGTCGAGTTTTTTTTTTTGAAGAGTATATTATGTGGGTCAGAACACGAATTCTGTCTAAATATGACACATATCTACAGAAAGCCAGCTGGTACAATGTCTTACACTTGGAACAGGAAGAATAACACTGCCACACACAGTTGTTTCGTATGTTGAACCCTTCAAGCACTTAATCAAACAGACCCGTGAAGGTCCGGGTTAGAATATTGATCTTCAGTAACCCATGCTTGTCGTAAGAGGCGACTAACCGGATCGGGTGGTCAGGCTCGCTGACTGGGTTGACACATGTCATCGGTTCCCAATTGCGCAGATCGATGCTCATGCTGTTGATCACTGGACTGTCTGGTCCAGACTCGATTATTTACAGACCGCTGCCATATAGCTGGAATATTGCTGAGTGTGGCGTAAAACTACACTCACTCACTCACTTAATCAAACACACACTGTTGTGTCAAAACTGTAAACACCATTTGCGTCTGCCAAGTGTTTAACCACCATCGGCATCTGGCTGTGTCGAAAAGAGTATCTATCAAGTCATCTCAGATGTTAATAGTTTTATGCTATTACCCTTACAACATACCGCCAACATGTTCTGTTGGCTGTCATGTTACACCTCGGCCTTACCTTCTCTTATCCACCTGTCACCATCACTCAATACCTCTTCGTATTTCAGTTGTAATCGTCGGTTAGTTTTAAATGTATCCTGTTATATATATATATTGGACTGTGCCGCCGTTCTAATTTAGATTGATCTTCAGTAACCCATACTTGTAAGAGGCGACTAACGGGATCGGGTGGTCAGGCTCGCTGGCTTGGTTGACACATGTCATCGGTTCCCAAATGCGCAGGTCGATGCTCATGCTGTTAATCACTGGATTGCCTGGTCCAGACTCGATTATTTAGACCGCGGCGACATAGCTGGAATTAAAAACTAAACTAACTCACTCACTCTAATTAGATATGTCACAACTGATAACCTTATTTATTTATTTATATAGATATGTCACAACTGACGACCCTATTTATTTATTTAGATATGTCCCAACTCACGACCTTATTTATTTATTTATTTATTTAGATATGTCCCAACTCACGACCCTATTTATTTATTTAGATATGTCCCAACTCACGACCCTATTTAGTTATTTATTTAGATATGTCCCAACTCACGACCCTATTTATTTTTTTATTTAGATATGTCCCAACTCACGACCCTATTTATTTATTTATTTAGATGTGTCAAAACTCACGACCCTTTTTATTTTTTTAGATATATCCCAACTCACGACCCTATTTATTTATTTATTTAGATATGTCCCAACTCACGACCCTATGTATTTATTTATTTAGGTATGTCACAACTGACGACCCTATTTATTTATTATTTATTTATTGTTTATTTCCACATCACTGGCCACGATACGAATACACGGCCAGTGTGATGTTTTCTTCAATTTTTACTAATCTCCCAGTCAATTGTTAACTGTTCGATGCAGCAAATCGATTCTCCCCGAAGAATTTATAATTATATATGATAAATATAATTATACAATAAAAATAAAAATTATGGTGGAGATGCCGGGGATCGAACCCGGGGCCTTTCACATGCAAAGCGAACGCTCTACCACTGAGCTACATCCCCAACTCTGACTGTTGTGTTTACCTATGTCATTTTATAAATGTGAGGAATAATCTCTGATACTTTTAACGAAAGACGCCTGATTTCAGACTTCATTGGAAATATCCATTGTAGACATGTTAGCTTTTCATATGTGCAGTTTGATAGCGTTAAAACCCGTTGTTGACATAATTGTAGTAATGTCACATGGGCCTATGACAGCGCCGTTGTGAGGATTTTCAGTACACTGGCGAACGCGCACGTATACAATGATACCAGTTTAAACTAAGCTCTTCTTCAGCGCCCGTTCATGAATACTCTGCGAGGAGCTCCAACTGGCGAAAGCGCATGTATACAACAATACCAGTTTCAACTAAACTCTCTTCAGCACCCATTCAAGCTGGGCTGGCGGCTACACTGTCACATTTGCGGTTGGACGACGTAGCAATGGATTCGGGGGACAATTTCAGTTAACATGTTCTTAAATCATTTCCATGAATTACGCTTGAGATATGTGTGTGTTTTTTCCTTAAGTCTGAGATTCTGGGTTCAAAATTTTCAGCTCGAAAACTCAGCATACTTGTTTCAGTGGTTTGTCCAACATCAGCATCTTTATATATAGAGAGGATGAAGTTCACAGAGCTACTGTAAACGGTAAACGGAATATTTAAAAAACTACACATATACTGGCGAGACCCCGGGTAACAAATAATATGATAAATTAGGGTAAAGTTCAGTATAAAGTAATAGTCTTTTTATCCGATTTAAACTTTAAAAATGTCCCAAATATCTGACGTTTTGAGCAAATGTTGAAAACAAACTTTTCAGAGCATCCCGCACCAAACACAGTACAACTGTACAGAATGAGTGGCGGAACACCCACTGACAATGACACTTTGAGAAACAGAAGAGAAGTGAACACATTATTTCCATACTCTTTATTCATCCATTCTTCTATCCATTGTAACACGAGGATCAACCACGTTTGCCATTCACACCTCAGTTTTATACAAGCCATGGTCCCATATATTGTAATGCAGTTCACTATGAACACAGATTCACTGGTTAATTAATATCTTTCCAAATACTTCAGGTAGGCAGTAGACAGGATTCAAGCTAAAAGCTGACATATATTTTAAACCTCAGCAACTGAAAATGACTGTCAGTAAAAGAATAGACATAAAAGTACAATAAAAATTGATGTATCATCCCAAACTGTGTTCCACAGGAGATATTGCTTTGACAGTAGAGTTTGTACAATGCCCTGACAATGCTATGATGTCATGAACTTGATGATGTCACAATGCTATGACATCGCTGCACTGGAAGTTTATGGCAGTACTGTGTTCAGATATGTACATTTTTCATTGAAAACTAATGAAGAGTGATTTTTGATGATAAATAGAATCTCACCCTCATGTCTTCTGATATCAAATATATCAACACTCATTGAGAAAAGTAAAAATATCCTCGGTAAGCCTCAGATATTTGTAACTTTATCAACTCATGGTGATAAATTTGATATCAAAAGACACTTGGGTGAAATTCTCTATATGTACGACATACAACTTATATTAACCATATTTTAAATGGATAATGAAACATTGGATTCATTAAAAAGATTTATGAAACACCAACATGCATACTATAACAACATCATTAACCTCGATCTTAACTAACATAACTAGAGAGTCTCCCCAACTCTACAAAGTTAAATGAATTTGAATCCAAGTAAGTATAAACTGATTTGGCAAGTCTGGATTCAATCAACCACAAATCTGGATTTATATTTCTGGTTTAAATGTTAAGTCACTGCATAACCAACAAGAAACTTAAAACAGAAGGGTTATACTCGAGATAGACACCGCCACAGGCAGCCTGAGACTCAGTCAACACCTAGAGGGTCTAGTTCTTTTTTCCCAGAACTAGTTCTTTAAACTATACCATTAATACAATATGAGCTGATAACTAGCTTGATATGACAATGAAATGCAAAGGATTGCAAATCTGATTGGAGTTGTCCCCCTTTCTCCATGGCCCTTACAGAATGACACCATCAAACATTCCATCAAAGCAAATCATCAAACAATGAAGGTAGAGTTTATAATATCTGCTGATTATTTGTATCAAAGCAGCATAAATGTTAGCCTGGTTTGTTACTAGTATATACTGTTTGAAAGGATACCATGGAAACATTTTTCAGATTTTTTTAACAAGTACATGCAAAAACCAATACACATTTGTGGATTATGTTGCATAAACAATAACAATAGTTAAAATACTTGTTAGAAATGTTCTTATATTCAGCTGTGAGATATAAGTAGTAAACATGATTACAGAGCCACTGTAAATGTTTCCATGTGCAAATGTCAACATGCATGAAGCTTAACATGCATGAAGCTTAAGGAACAAATTCGTGACTTTACATGTCGTTCTTTCTTATTAATGCAGTTAATGTCATGGATTAACATGATTAATATGAAAGAATGCAGTCGTATTTTTCCAGTAATACTTATTTTGAAAAAAATATGAATGGTAAAAGGTATCCTTGAACAAAAACCCACGATGAAGCAAAAAATACATAAAAACAAAAACATTATTTTATAGCACATGATGATAAGGAGTTACAAACCAAGTAAGATTTATAAATTCCATTCATAAGAAGTTGGTATGCCATTTTCGTCTGAACCTGTGTCAAACTATATTCAAAAACAGTTTGACATTCTGTTCAAATTTGATTAATATAAACAGATGATACTGTTCCCACAGTGGAGAAATAATGTGAACTGAGTCTAACCCTTGAATCAACTGATTTTAGTGATCATGATGAGGTTATGAGTGATATATGATCCCTCTGATATTTTCCATAATGACCATTGTAAAATACATGTCCAGAATGAACAATAAATGCCTGGTTCAGAATCAACATCAAGTACAAGGCAGTAGCATCATCATCATCATGGTTCAACGTATTATAACACTTGGAATATAATACAATCTAAAACATAGTGATTCAAACAGTAAAATAATGCCTGACATCCGGTGACAACCCTGTTACCTTACAGGTGTACCGGGATACAGATTAATTGATACATAGTATGCGTAGTCTGTATCTGATAACTGAGCACAGTTGCACCTTTGTAGAAACAAAGTCTAAACTTGAAAAGTTTACTTCGTGACTTTTTTATTGCACACAGAATTGAAAATGGAATTATCTCCCTATTTCTATGATAAATCCCAGTCAGCACCATTGTGTTGTTGTTGCCATGTCATCTAGACAGATACTGGCCTGGAACTCAGCACATACAACCTGTATACAAGTCACCATTCAACCGTCAAAATAAATCTCATATAAAGAGCACAACAGACACACACCAGTCTGGTACAACAGACAAACATCCTGTAAGGATGTATATCCAACAAATGCCTCAATCCAGATACTGAACATATTTGTTATTCACACACAAGCATAAAACATATACTAGTATTTGATCCTTGAATCAAAAGCGCATCTCTTCAAACTGTCGACAAGGCGTTTATCAACCCGTGTATTCAAGGAAGACATTTCCTTCTGTGTCTGCTGACCCGGTGTTACAGTACTGATGATGTCAGAGCATCTTACTGTCCATCGTATACTGAGGCACACACGCTTGTCTCTGGTACAGATGTTGGTCGCCTCTACACCGTGCACATCAGAGTCTCTCTATGGAATATGTGACACCTGACCGTTGCTGGGGAAGTGTTGCTTCCTGGTCCTGTTGCTAGGCGCATTGAAGGATCCGCGATCTGTTCTCCTCGTATATCTTCACCATGCCATCCACATCTGGGTTACCGTCCAATACCTACAATGTTTAACAATATCAGAGTCCATCGAGGCTAACCTGCCGTCTATATTGTTGTCTGTCTACTCATGTGTAACTATTTTTCATATTGAAGATAGGAATTTCATTCAATAAACAATCATCACCATAACTTTGATTTTTGCTATTAGGTATGAGCTGCCTCCATGGTGTAGATAGAAAAAATTATGGCCAGCATAATAAGACAAAGTGTGCTTTTCAACAACATCAATGAAATAAATACTACTGATAGACTGTTATGTGTCAACTGTATGGAGGAACAGAGTACACGATACATTGTTGTAGCTAGATACTGACCAGGACTTCAGCTGGACACGGGTACTTCTTGTGGATCAGCCAGTCCTCATGCTGTTTGTGTAGGGCTTCCAGGTATTCCTGTGTACAACAGTGTCGGTCTCAGTACAACACGGTAAGGGACCCTTCATAATTTACCCCTCCCAAAATTTATGTACAAAGTAAGTGACCCCACCCTACATGTCATGTACAAAATAAATGACCCCCTCCCTTCCCATAATTTTTTAGCATGTTTTTAAATATTTTATGTACAAAATTGATGACCCCCCTACTTCCCAAGAACAAAATGGTTGACCCCCCTTAACATCATCATCATCCCCCCTAGCCATAAATTATGAACGGTCCCTAAGAACAATGCATTTATCTGACAAATTCCCACAACCTCTTCAACAATGTAACAATTGTATGTACACACAAACACAAATCATGGACTACTATCTTGCCTCACACATAAACATCGTTTTCTGCTTGGCTGAGCGCTCTTGTATTATTTTCAATGTATCCCACTTCTAAGCGAGTAACATTTTCTATGTACCCCGCTGGGAATGCTGAACTCATTTGGTCCTTCATAGTAGTAATTCTGTATCTCGATTAGCATTGAATCACGTATGATGTACGGAAATTAAGGATGTTTTGAATGCAAATCGATAAAAGGGAGATAACTCTAAATTTGTTTTTCTTGTTGTCTTGTCCTTCTTACTATGATCCGATACCCGTGCTTCAAACAGTTCAAAATTACCATTGAGGTGTTCGATATGATAAATACGTTGTTCACTGGTCCCTTGGGGCCCATGGGTTGATGTACCCTCGATGTTTCTTTATGTCTTCGGGCTCAGGGAACATAAACAAACATCGAAGATACATCAGTCCATGTTCCCCTCGTGGCCAGTGAACAACTAATAATGTGTATATGACCATATTCAAGTATTGTTTTCAGAAGTGGTACTTCGTATCTCCACTTGTCCTACACACAGTTATAGATGGAGGTCAACTGATTGCACAGGACAGCGACAATGTTCTACATACCAGGGGGATACCTTTCTCCTCTTCTCTGTGTCGACGCTGTATTCTCTCGTACAGCCTCTCTGGGCGAGTCTGTAGGTACACTGGAACACACATACACATTGTCATTCTCACAGGACAGAGTTGGTTGGTTGTTGTTTAACACCGCACTCAGCAATACTCCAGATATATAGCGGCAGTATGTAAATAATCAAGTCTGGACCAGACTATCCAGTGATAAACATCATGAGCTTTGATCTATGCAATTGGGATACGATGAAAGGTGTCAACCAAGTCCACCCGATCCCGTTAGTCGCCTCTGATGACAAGCATGGGTTACTGACGACCAATTCTAACCTGGATCTTACAGGTTACTAAGTATGCAAAGGATATTGGTGTAGAGTGTATTACAAACATATTTTAGACATAATATATAGAATAATGATGGCATCAATTATGCAATGACCTACCAATGAGATCTACTTTGAAGTCTTGTGTTTTCAAAATCCAGTCAAACCATTCTGTCAGCACAATATGTTCAATGTCAGGCATTTTGCCACTGCAACAAAAACACCAGGTTGATGAAACGGAAACATTGGTTTAACTCAAGTCAACATCTCAATGAAAACAGGCACTGGGACAATTCTGCCCAAAATTCTTCAAGGGAATCGGCACATGCTGATACAACATCAAGCCTGGACTAAATGATTGCTGGTGCCAAGCTGTCTGACCCGGGTTCAAATCCCCACATGGGCACAATGCGTGAAGCCCATTTCTGGTGTCCCCCGCCGTGATGTTGCTGGAATATTGCTAAAAGCGGCGTAAAACCAAGCCGAGCAGGGAACTCACCCGTGCCAAGATTATTGGGGTAAGTGGAATACTGTTTGGATTGGTATTAAACTCACTCATTTGTGCCAAGATGCCCAGGGTAAGTGGAACACTTTTTAGATTGGTATTAAACCTAACTCACTCACTCACTCACTCACTGAGCTACATACCTCATGTGCAAGTTTTCCACGAAGCAGTACTTGGCACTGAATATTGACCTCTCCATCATCTTCAAGGGCTTCTCCTGGGCCTTCATGTGGATGTCCAGCATGGTCAATTGGACGTAGGTCTGGAAGGTTAACCCCCACCGTGCTGGGTCCCTGTACATCAGACCCTGGTATGTGATAAATAGTCGTATTACGTATATAGCACAGCAGTCATAGAGAATGGTGCCTCATGACAATCATGTAACGTCCTAAAGGTTGTGGACCTGTGAAGATCTGAGTTAGAATTGCTCTTCAGTAACAATAACAATAATAAGTCCATTTCTATAACGCCCTAAATCCAATAACATCGTAACCCATGCTTGATGTAAATGGCGACTAATGGGGTCAGGTGGTCAGGCTTGCTGACTTGGTTGACACATGTCATCATATCCCAATTGCGTAGATCGATGCTCATGATGTTGATCATTGGATTGTCTGGTCCAGAATCGATTATTTAAAGACAGCTGCAATATAGCTGAAGTATTGCTGAGTGCGGGGTTAAACAACAAACCAACCAACCAATGTAAAGGTTGTGTATTACCACTATCATAAATAACTGGTCACTTTATCTCATAACACGTTTCTCTGTGACACAGTTTATAGTATTGTTCTACAAAAGTTAATACCAAACACAGCAACACGTCAGGGCAATCAAAAATCAGTTGGTAACACGAACAATGCCCATTGTCTTGTCGTCAAAAACATGTCACACCACAGTTCTGGGTTCCCGTTCCACTAACCAATGTTAGCTAGGAACGGATCGTAAAATCGAGACAGGCTACAAATGGCCTAAGATCGGTTAGCGGAATGGGCGCAACTTTTAGCTAAGACGATTGCAAAACTGGCGTAACTTGCTGAGATTGATCTTAGATAAGATTGGTTAGTGCAACGGCACCCTGAACAGTGTTGAACTGCTGTAAACTTACCAGAGCATTGTGTCCTTTAACATCCCGCCATTTGTTGACAGGTTCCTGAAATACCTACAAGAAAAAGAATGTGTCAGTCATTTCATTTCAGCCATGATCAAGTTATAGGCTACCTATGCCTATTATTTAATGATAAATCTATTCACTCGAGCGACCACTGGAAAACATCGCTACCCACTAGGTTAGACGAGCACCGACGAAGAGATGCAATGCCGACCCCTGCAAACCACCAAAACAAAATATAAAGTACAATAAAGGACCATAGCGTGAAATTACTTTTATGACGAGAGTGTGCTATATATTCAATTCAGTCTGGACAAAGGAGGATGGTGTCAAAGAACTGTGGAAAATTCACTTTCAATACAAGCTTACACCGAACTACGGTTGTGAGCCTATTAACTTAAGGACACGTCGAATGTAACTGCGACGAGACTCCCGCATACATTTCTTTCTGCAAATGTCAATGTGTATTTTTTGACATTTGTGTGTTTCGTTTGAACTTTGGATTATTCTGGAATACATTCGCCATTCAAAGGTAAACAGTTTATAATCTATTCATGGCTCCCCAAAACGAATATCATGTAATTTTGCTATAAAAATCAATTACCTATTACTTTACAGTAACATTATTTGTAGAAATAAGTGATGTAAGGTATTTACTCGTACATCTAGCTACTTATCTATATATATATATGTGTATGTGTATATATGTATAGGTATACATGTATATGTATCTGCGTATGTATGTGTATGGGTGTATTTGTGTGTACTGGGTTGCCTAAACGTTGCAGTACAGTATAGAAAGTAATACCCCTCCTAAAGTAAATACTGTAAAGTTAAACGCATTACCTATGTATGGATAGGAATTGTATGTTGGTCTGTTCTGAGTCAAAAACATATCTTGGCGATGTGATACACCCTCTATTCTCGTCAAGACGAGGACAGATTATCATTCTACGCATTACGCCAGGGGTCTACCATGTTAGATAAGGTATTTCCTGATAAAGACGTGTTATACTTATATCTTCCTATAAATGTGGAGTATTTTAAAAGGAAATCATTGATAATTTTGTACATTCGGTTAGTCATTGGTCCATGAAACTATTATAGCAATTTATACTATACTGGTTTATTAAATTCGTATAGAAACCATCAATACCCTGAGGAAAACAATAACTTGTAACCTCGTTTAGTTATATAATAGGACTGTCATATCATATACCATATATACTTTTGACAGAAACCAAAGTTTTCCCCTACTTCTCTTGTACTAGTGTAGAAATACATGTTGCCCCTCAATTTTTGTAACATATATAATAATATAGCTGTAAAAGACGATTGACTTTACTGCAATGAGAAATATGTTTATTATTTAGTAACACTTAAGCTCGATTACTGTCCAAAAGTAAGAACAATTGTATATTGGTTTACGCTGAGCTAAAAACATATGTTGGTGAGGAAATACAACCCTTATCCCTGCCAAAATGAGGATAGTCTAGTATTTTATGTTTTACGTAAAGGGAATTTTGGTATGTTTTAGTATTCTCGATAGGTATCTTTTTACACAATATTGTGTTAAAAGAAAATCATTGACATTTATGTACATTCGTTTATATATTGATCCAAGAAACTACTATGGAAATCATTCGCTTCATCTCTACAAAAATATGCTTATTCATTTGTAATATTTAAGCTTGATTATTGTCCAAAAGTATGGACAACTGCTGGCATGTGAGAAAGTGCCAATTTTTGATTACGAATTGCAATTGTTATTGCGGTTGTCAAAATGAATCTTTATTTACTCATTTAAACCTATCTGTGTACAAACGAGGAATACACCAATACACCATCAGACATTCAGGTATATTCTTTGTTCTCACTGATACAGTGGAAAATCATTGAAAAGAATTGTACCCTCAGGGTAAACATTTTAAATTGCCACTTCTTTATGTCATTCAAAGTAGCTGCCATATTAAGTATTTAATATTCGATTCCACTAAATACGTATTTAACTGCCATGGTACCACAACTGGTATAGAAATATTATATAATAGTAATTATTATGCCTTTCACATTCAACAACTTATACTGAGAAATATAATTGCGGGCATTATAATTGAAATAAACAAAAATTACATATGTAATTGTTAGTAATTATAAATAATAGGTACCATAGATTATATATGATACCGTCACATGGCCTGGGCCCTTTGTAGAAATGCGATATGCACGATATTGCGGAACTGAAGAAAAAATGTTCCATAAAGCTATGCTACCGTTAATACCAGTAATATCACATAACCAGAGCCCAAACTAAAGTGGATTCATAAAAAAATGAAAACAAACTATAAGTGAACAGACGGAAAAGGCTGTAAGACTTATACTATGCTTTATCAGCATTACAGGACGGAAATCGGAAGTGTACACATATATATATTGTTTACTGTTGTATCTTTTGTTCATTTTTGTTGTACTAAAAAAATTCCCAAATGTATGTTTGTTGCCATAGATGCTTTGTTAACTCATCCCAAGAACTTGCAAGGTCATCCAAACCATCACCTTCCACTGCAAATCATTGTAAGGTAAATAATGAAACAAAATGTAAATAAGGAAAATCTAAAAATTCTATCTCTTAACTGCAGAGGTCTCAATAATGCTTTTAAAAGAAAACAGGTATTCAGGTTCTTAAGGCTAAAAAAGGCTAACATATTCTGTCTTCAAGACGTTCATTTCACTACTGAGCAAGAACAGCTCATTAAACAGCAATGGAGCTATAGCGAATGTTATTTCAGTCACTTTCGAAGCAATGCAAGGGGAACAGCTATTATTTTTAATAACAATTTTGAATTTAAGGTTACAGATCAACAAATTGATATGGATAATGGAAATTATATTCTACTGAGAGTAAAAATACATGATAGTGACAACACAATTATAAATGTATATGGACCTAATAAAGATTGCCCTGAGATCATTACAAATATCAAAAATATGCTAAAACAAGAAGAAAATGATAAATTTATAATGTGTGGAGACTGGAACATGATACTAGACAGTGACTTAGACACCTATAACTACAAACACAGGAATAACCCAAAAGCCAGACAAGAACTATTAAATGTTATAACTCTATTAGACTTGAAAGACCCTTGGAGAGAATCAAACCCGTATAAAAAACGCTTCACTTGGAGACAACCAACCCTGCTTAAACAATCTAGGTTAGAATTTTTCCTTGTATCACATAATCTTTTGCAGGCAGTTACACAAACCGATATATCCCCAAGCATTAATTCAGATCACTCAATAATCTCACTATCAATATCTTTAGGAGATATGATAAGAGGGAAAGGATTTTGGAAGTTCAATAACTCACTACTTCACGATGAAAAATATGTTGAAAAAGTAAAAACTACAATAAAGAATACCCTACAACAATATGAAGCTGAAGAAACAAGATATACCATAAATGATCAACTATTATGGGAAATTCTACTGTTAGAAATTAGAGGTATGACTATATATTATTCATCTACAAAAGAGAAAATGACTTTGAACAGAGAAAAGGCTTTGGAAAATAAATTAAGAGAATTGGAAATCGACCTGGATACAGAACCAGCTGAAAAAAAGACAGAAATATTAACAAAAGTAAATGAAGTTAAACAAGACTTAGAAGAAATTAGCAAACAAAAGATAAAAGGTTTATACATAAGATCTAAGGCAAAGTGGATCGAACAAGGGGAAAAACCATCAAAGTACTTCTTACAATTAGAAAGCAGAAATTTTTTTTAAATAAATCAATAATGGAATTGGAAAAAAAGGATGGTACAGTGATAAAAGATTATAAGGAAATACTAGAAGAGACTAGAACATTCTACAAAAACGTTCATAGAAGATGAAATACCTAAACTGTCAGAAGAAGCTGCCTCATCTTTAGAGGGAGAAATAACATACAAAGAAACACTTGTCGCTTTAAAGAAAATGAAAAATGATAAAAGTCCGGGCCCGGATGGCTTCTCCAGTGAATTCCTCAAGTTTTTTTGGAATGACTTAAATAAATTTCTAATTAACTCCTTGAAGTATGCATATGAAATGGTTCTATGTCCATATCACAAAAACAAGGTCTTATTACTTGTATCCCTAAGAGTGGTAAAAGTAAAAAACTGCTAAAAAACTGGAGACCAATATCGATACTAAATACCTCCTACAAATAAGCTTCTGCAGTTATAGCAAACAGAATAAAGACAATATTACCACTTATTATCAGTGAGGATCAAAAAGGTTTTATTCAAGGAAGATACATAGGAGAAGTCACAAGGCAGATATACGACGTAATGGACTATAGTGAATCATATCAAATTCCAGGATTATTACTGCTCATTGATTTTGAAAAAGCTTTTGACTCGGTTGACAGAAAATTTATGCAAAATGTAATGGACTTTTTCAACTTTGGACCATGCATTCAAAATTGGATACAAGTACTGCTAAACGATAGTGAATCAAGTGTATTAGTAAATGGGTTCATGAAATGAAGTTCTTCAAGATAACTAGGGGCTGCCGACAGGGAGACCCAATATCACCTTACATTTTTATCTTATGTGCCGAAATACTAGCTATTCTAATAAGAAAAAATAAGAAAATTAAAGGGATAAAGATAGGTAATATACAAAGCCTTTTAGCCCAATTTGCAGACAACACTACAGTGACCTTAGACGGATCTGAATCAAGTTTGTATGCAGTCTTGAACACATTAGCCTTCTTTGCAAGATTTTCAGGGTTAAAAGTTAACGCAGAAAAAACCAGGCTAATATGGATAGGGTCAAAGAAAAGATCTAGGTATAAGATGTGCAAGGAATGGAATCTGGATTGGACACAGTCAAATTTTAAACTTTTAGGAATAGTTTTTGATGTTGAATTAAATAATATTGTAGACCTAAATTATAATGATAAATTTGAAAAAATCTACCAAGAAATGGTGAAACTGAACTCAATTTGTTTTATGTCGATCTGAATTCTAAAATGTTTATTATGACATGTCCATGCTTCAGTTTTCTGAGAAATTTACTTTGATATTTATAACAGCACCGAGATATTTCAATAAGATTAAATTCTTTACTTTCTTAGATTTTAATGATGCTTTCAATGCAATACTTATATCAGAATATATCTCTTCATGGGTAACATGTTTAAATTAGAAGCTGCAAATCAGATTGTAGTGAATGTTATATTTGCACAAGGCCAAGCATAAAAGTCAGCAATCTAACCCACTCAGCCACAATAATGGAAGTGTGACAACTGGAAGCCGATGTGTGCTGGTGATTAGGTTCCTTGATCTTAGCGTGTGAGTTCGAATCCTGGATGGGACTAAAGCCCCCCAAAGTACTAGAATCTGTCCTTAGCTGAGATATAGGAATCCCAAATATAACATGCATAACATTTAACCACTTTCCAAAGGCATCGTGTATTCACAAATCAACATATCACAAAACATTCTAGTATTGTGATGAAGTTTAACATCCCATGGACTGCATCAAGTAATTGAATGCAGCATAGACATACCAGTATTATAGTACCAAGTAGTTTGGAAACTCTGCAATTGTTCTGTGGTCCGGCTATGATGAGTGTAGATATGTTCAGGTAGCCTATAACTTTTGTTTTCTTTTTTTTAAAAGTATTTTTATTTCCCAAAAGTTCATTTGTTGTTGTCATAGTACAAAAACATCAAACAGAACACATCCTCGTCATCAAACATTGTGCAAACATCACCATCAATACAAAACAATCATCATCGTATGTTCAGGGTGGATTTACTATAATGTATCTGTTATCCTTGCCCAAGGCTAATATGTATACCAGTACTTGTATTCAGATGCACTTGTCAAACTGTATTATACTTACGTAACATCTAGGTTGGTATAATTAGCAAAAGGTGTATGGAAGGAAGACCAGAAAGCATAAAATTTTGCTGGGTTTGCATCAGAAAATGCTGTATATTTGGTAGCTTTATAGTAGTTGAGTATTTCCCTTTGAAGCACTTTAAAATCTGGCTTTATATTATTTCGGCTTGTTTTATATAGCATATATTTCACTATTAGAAACACCAGATTAAGTGAGTTGTTGTTTTTACCTTTGAAACCAAAGATAATATTTTCGTGCGACAAATCAAATTTTTTCCTTCAGACAGTATATCCAGCCAATCGGATACCTCCTTCCATACTTTCACGGTATATCAGCATTCACACAATAAATGAATGATTGTTTCAGGAGCAGATTCACAGAATGAGCACATTGAAGAGTCTGTGTAATTCATCAAGTGTAAATTATGTTTAGTCGTTAAAATATTGTGAGTAATCTTGAAATGAAACCATCTTAACTGTACACTTTCTGTACATCTATTTGCCGTTAAATATATGTTAGACCAGTCTTCTTTGTTATATTGTTTGTTGAGGATGTCTTCCCACTTTTTTTGGCTTGTTGGTCTAGTTTCAATTTGAGGTAAAAATACGTTATAAAAGGATTTACTCCTTTGGTTTTGTCCGCAAATGCAAGATATATTAAAGGGTAATGTTGGGTATTTGACCTGATAGGTCCAAGCTATATCAGGTATTTTTCTGAGTCTGCAATATGCTAAGACAGTACTCTTTATACCTTCTAGATGGAGGAAGTTTATATTTGCAATTCCATATTTTTTTTCTATGTCAACTTTATGTAAGAAATTTCCATTCTGATCTAGAATATCACAAACTAACATTATTCCCTTTTTTGCCATATTTTCATAGTAGATTGACTTTCCCTCTTTTCTAATGTTATTATTAAACCATAGAGACTGGTTGAAAATATCTGATATTTCTTGCACATTTGTGTAACACCTTTTTAGGTAGTGGCACCATGCCGTTAACACATCACTCCAAAATTGATTTGAGACACTGGGAATAATATTATTGCACACATATTGTGCATCAGCATACCATAATTTATTTGCATTGTCTAGGATTTCATTTGCAATAGAAGTACATTTTGAACTGTTGAGCAACAACCGTTTAATCCACATTATTTTTTGAGCATTTATAGTAGTTCTTACAATGGGTACACTTATTCCTCCATCCTTTGGTTTAAGATGCATAATTTCTCGCTTTACCTTATCTGTTTTCCCTTGCCAAACAAAATTAAAACACTTTTTTTGTAACTTTTGTAATGTGTCTTCGGATGGACTATGAATGGATGAAAATAGGTGGTTTAACTTTGGTAAAAGCAAGGATTTCAGGATAACATTTTTGCCCATTGGTGTCAAATATCTCAGAGACCAAATATTCATTATTCACAGTACAGAGCAGGTGAATGTTTCCTTTTCTTCCAACACAGTGTTTCGACCCCTAGCCTCGAGTGATCTCTGATGTCTCACCTCGATCGGGGCGGTGGGGTAGCCTCGTGGTTAAAGCGTTCGCTCGTCACGCCGAAGACTCAAGTTCGAAAAAAAAATTCCCCACATGGGTACAATGTGTTAAGCCCATTTCTGATGTCTCCTGCCGTGATATTGCTGGAATATTGCTCAAAGCGGCGTAAAACCAAACTCACTCACTTACCTCGATCATGCTGCTGTCCTTGTAGTATTCAAGTAATGTTGTCTTGCCACTTGCAATGTTGCCCTCTATGCATATCTGGCAGAACAAAGAAACAGGTTTAATATCAGGAGACGATATCTGCACATCTGACAGAATGATGCTGGTGAAACAAGGACTGTAACGCTCATTGACAGTACAGATACTACACAGTACCTCAGGTATGTTTCCATCCACGTTACCATGGTGACAGGCCCAACTCACTCCGTATCGCAACACACTTTAATTTATACTGAATATATTACCCTATTAAGAACTACATAATTTATATGGGTTACCGGTTGAAACAATCAAGAATGATTCTATGAAAAAGATTCAGCTTAAAGCTTCTGTATACATCTCCTTTCGTCTGGTGCATGAAATTAGTTTCAGTATACAATTCATTGTGACATATGCATAATAGCATCTACATGAGGCAGGCAGGATTGGTGGCCAGCAAGGATTGGATTGCAGGGTGTAATAGAGGAAATACGGTACTTTAAACATTTATCTACTTTTCACATATTCAGCACAACACTTTGTATACTTACTGTGTATTTTGATTTTGGTGGTATGTTTTCAAATGAATGCTGTATCTCGATGCCATCTAAAAACACAGAAAAGTCTCCATTATGAAAAATGTTATCTAAAGTGCTTCTAAATTTTGCTCTTTGCTAAAAGATAAGACTTTTATCACACTTTTCATGAGCGTCACAGCTAGGTTGTAACATTGACCTCTTCTGTAGGTAGAATTTTTACAATTTTGATTTGGGGAGTCAGACATCCATGTAATGTCCATTACTGTAATTTCTGAAAAATGGCTGGATATTTCAACGACATTATTTTTATTCAGAACAACACTGTGCAAATAAAAACATTTACAATTTTGTTACATCAAAACAGCCTGGGATTGCTCGTCTTTGGGAATCTGACAGCTGTACTTCATATGTTCATCTCTGTTTAACATTTTCAAAATGGACTCCTTTCATGGAGACGTAAGGAATGTGTATATTCTCTATGTACAAGGGCACCACCAAGACGATTTATAACTTAGTGTCACATACATAGAGTTCCTTCCGTTCCCCATATTTTTTTTATGTAACATTACCATGCCTGGGGTCCTTATCATACAAAGTGGTTCGACTCTATATATTGTAAATAATTTTGGGGCTTTTAGTTATTTTGTGAGTTCTCTAGTAATTGTTGTGTTAGGTTTTGTTGATAATATTAGTTCATATTAATTTATACATATTATTTATATATTTATTTATTATTGGCCACTTTACAATACTATTCCCTTTAGATGTACGAAAGATACTAGATTACAATGGTTCCAATACAGACTTTTACACCACATCTTGCCAACAAACATTTTTTTACAAAAGATAGGATATAAAGACACTAGTAATTGTAGTTTTTGCTCCAAAGAAATAGAAACAACTATCCACTTATTCTGGTCTTGCAGCAAGGTAAACCATATATGGAAAAAACTTGAGAACTGGCTACATGCTAAAGCACAAATAAAACTCAAAATTGAAAAGAAACATGTAATGCTTGGTTACCTAAATAAAAACAATGATCCAATAAATATCATCTTAATTCTCTTCAAGGAACTAATTTTTCGAAATAAGTTTAACAACATTATGCCATCTTTCCAAGTTTTTCAACATAAACTGTTTGAATATTATATGTTAACAAAGTGTTCATCAATAATTAGTTGTAATATCAATGCTTTCTACACGTTCTGGTCGTCATGCCATGATTTATTCTGCTAAAACTATTTGATTTTTCATCATGTATACTGGAATATCACTGTTATTTGTTTGTATAAAATGTTGAAAAATGCAACAAAATAAAAAACTATTAAAAAAATATTATTTGTGATGGGGGAACGGGAGGAACTCTTACCCTAAACTCCACTGAAGTCACCGACTCTTTGTCCAACATCTGTCAAATCACACAATTGTGCTTAGTATTATTGATAATTTGAGGGTGATTGTAGAGTGTCATTAATTGCATTTATTTATTTTGCAAGGAAAATACCCATCAACAACCCGGGCCAGTTATTTGTAAGGCTCCTTATTGACATCAATTCCATTGAGGTTCTAATCTGTCAGCACGCATCTTCTGTTTGGATGCCAAGTATTGACAATGGATCTGATCGATTTCCATCGACAACAACGCGAATAAAATGCTACCTTAGTAACATTTTTAAAAATATTAAGTGAACCCACTCGGTTTATCGTTCGCAGATCCTGGTAATTCCTTCTGGGAAACAGTCCGCATTGTTGAAATGGTGCGTCTTACGCCTACCAGGCTTCGTATTGTTGTGACAACTTCGCGGATAACAGGCAGCTTTAAATGCATGTCTCAAACGGACCGTCTCAAACATCTAACATGCACAGACACGCTTTTTCCCAGTGTTGTCGCATGGAGAACATAGAACCAATAAACTAAGCCGTAAGTTCCTAAGTATGGCTATGATGTAAATCTATTTATATCCAACCAATAGCAATACGCGTTACTTGGACTCCCTCTCTTTACATTGTAAACGAGATGATACCCTCAGCAATATTCCAGCTACGTGACGGCGATCTTTACATAATCAAGTCTGGACCAGACAATCCAGTGATTGACATAGCGTCGATTTCGCAACTGGGATAGTGTTACATGCATCTACCTTGTCAGCGATCCTGACCACCGGATTGAATCAGTCGCCTCTTACTTTTAACCCGGATCTTCACTCTGAACAGCTGCGCAGTCGTTAGGCTGAAATTAACCCCAGAATAAAGTAACTTTTATCCAAAGCGAATGGGGTTTTTCTACAAAAGAGAAAATAAATAATCGGAGCCATATTGGCATCATTCCTCGATCATGCCAAACTTGCCCAACCATTATATCTTAACTTGATTTGGACTCCTTTTCAACTTTATTCTCTCGGGTCGGGTACAAGACCAACTTTTAGTCTATCTCTATATTTTTCTGTTAGGAGAAGGAATAATTCCTTTTAAATTGAAAAGAAGCCCCAGTGAGTTTGGAGAATATAAAGCTTGCCGAAATCTAAAAGGGAAAATAGTAGGGTTCATGGACCCTACATTATTTGGGATAGTGTACACGCATCAGACAAGCACCCAGCTTACAAAACATGCGGGTCGAACTGTAAGCTGGTTCCCGACTCCCTTTGCGCATCGTATGTTGCGATATGCGAGACGGGGCCCAGCTTAAGTTGTGTACACGCCAAGGGCTCTAAATCACACCATCTACCGTAAAGTAATGCAGATGCCGTATAAATGTCGCTGTGTGGATTTATGTGAGCTCCGTACAGAGATCCCGGAACCGAAAACCGATCATCCAATGCAGTAAAATTAATACACTGCAGCGGAGTCTTTGTTGATCAAGTCTCAAACGTTAGTTAAAAACTTTCGCACTAAACAATAAACATAGACATGTTTTTTTGTAAACCCATGTTACCATATATTATATAAATGGCGTTGGTTGCATGTGGTTGTCACTTACAAATACCGCATTTGTCAGCTCAAATACTTGAGTACACCATTCAGAGTAATTATGCAAAGGTTGAACTGGACGGAGTTAGACCGTTGTGATCAAAGTCCACCCCGAACTTGTCCAGTGTTTGGAAGCATGGTGCTGGCTTAGAGGTTTGAAATGATAGTTTAGAATTCTGCGGACAGACGTTAATCATCATTTAGCAGCATGTAACGTTTTTATGCATATCTAACAGTATTTGTTCCAAAAGTTGCAGGGTCGGTTACATATATGTAACTATATATATAGAGAGTGTCTGTGTAATGTGGGGTAAAGTCGGGCACCAATGTAGTACAGCCATAGACAGTCTGAATCAAAGTAACCACTATTTGTCTGAGTAACTCTAACAAGGTACTGTCAATCCTTTATATTACTTTAAAGCCTTGTAATACTGTATAACATATAGTGTAACAGATGACAAGACATATTCATAGCTGGCAGATTTAGGCATAGCTTGCATATATATGCTTGTTGAGTGAGTCAGCAAAAAAAAAAGATTGTCAGACTGAGTGTCACTCTAAGATTTGGTTAACTGTGTGTCACTGTACACTGCGGCGACTTGGCGTGTGAAGGAAACCACTGGTTTGTAAGATATTTATTTCAGGAGTTTCAGTGGTTGGCTGACAACATACCTTTACAGCATTTTAACTGGAGGCTGAAAACTCTAATGGTACTCTAATTCAAGTGAACCCAAGTTGTATAAATACGAGAGACAGCCTTGTGGTAAAGAATTCGCTCATCACGCCAATGACCATGGTTCGATTAACCACATGGAGACAACATGTGAAGCCCATTTCTGGTGTCCCTGCTATGATTTTCTTGGAATATTGCCAGAAGTGGTGTAACACTATACCCACTGTATAAACCAGTCTATTAGCCCCCCTTCTCAAAATCGGGAGAATTGAAAATGGCTGACTGAGTTTAGTTTTCGCCGCTTTAGCAATATTCCAGCAATATCTGACGGGGACACCAGAAATGGGCTTTAACACATTGTGCCCATGTGGGGGAACCCGGTAGGTGCTTTAACCACTAGGCTACCCCACTGCCTCTCTTTATGGAGGCGGTAGGTGTATTATGGCATTGAAGCTTATTGCACTTGTCAGAATGTCCTTGTGTCTGTCTGTGTGCAGAGAAACAACAAGTATAATCTGTTGTTTGATGACACATCGAGATTCGTACTACACAGAGACCGACCCGTGAAGACCCGGGTAGAATAGGTCTTCAGCAACCCATGCTTGCCCTGAAAGGCCTATGCTTGTCGTAAGAGGCGACTAAGGGGATCTCGTGGTCAGGCTCGCTGACTTGGTTGACACATGTCATCGGTTCCCAAGTTGCGCAGATTGATGCTCATGCTGTTGATCACTGGATTGTCTGGTCCAGACTCGATTATTTACAGACCGCCGCCATATAGCTGGAATATTGCTGAGTGTGGCGTAAAACTAAACTCACTCCCTCACTCACACAGAGACCTGCTCTCCAGGCAGACAGCACCAAAGGTCCATCTCCATGTGATGTGCACCCGATGTTGTCAGTGATCTACATCAAGTAATCAACATCATTACAATTTACATTTGGGTTTGCTGGGAGGGCAAGGAGGCATATACTTCATTAACCATGTTTAGACAAACTTTCAGGTACAGTAAATATTTCAGACTAGTTTGAGCCCAGTAGTACCATCAAATATATATATATTTGTACATTTTCTTGATAAGTGTTTTATGATTAATGCTTCTTATCTGTTTTATTTTCAGCATCGAAATATTAATTTTAATAAGAATTAATGTGGTCCAGAGTGTTCCGTCCTGTCTCTGTGACTCCTTGTATTTTGATGAGAATGGCAAGCTCTACAGGCAGTGGGAAATTGGCAGGCAAGGTTGCCGTGGTGACAGCTTCTACAGAGGGGTATGACGAGTATACAGTCAGACACAAACATATTTGACTTTTAAGCCAAATGAAATCATATTTCATCTTCAGTATTCACCTCAACTCACCCTGTCATCATAGAAACCTGTTTTGACTGAAATCTAAAATCTGTAATGCAAAATACCTCTAAATCCAATTCTGTCTTTATTGTTATTTGTACTTATTCTAGTGAATACAAATTTCTATGTTCGATAACTCAAACTGTTCGAAGCGTGATTATGAAAAAATGTGCAAAGGCATTATGGGTAAAAGGCATTATGTTGTCACTATAAGACTTGACATGCATGCATGGATGTATGAGATCAGTATGTTGTGAATTTTTCCATGTTGCAGCATTGGTTTTGCCATAGCACGTAGACTGGGTCAAGATGGAGCGAAGGTGATGGTAAGTAGTCGGAAACAAGCCAATGTGGACGCAGCGGTCAAGCAGCTCCAGTCTGAGAACCTCAGCGTAGCTGGTATCACGTGTCACGTCGGGAAGGCTCAAGATCGAGCAAAGCTGATTCAGGAAGTAAGTATATAATGGTGATTTTGTATGATATGTTTAAAACAAATTTACGGGGCACTCATAGCCAAGTCTTCCCAAAAAGATTTCTGTCGTTATTTTAAGATTACATTTTTTCTCTGAACTGGAGAAATACATAATGTTAAGGATCTCAATACATTCAGTTCCATGTCTTCCAACATGTACACAAAAACTGTCTTTGTTGTAAAACCTGAGGTCATGTTATTTTTTCAAAAATTTCTAGCACAAATGTTTTCTCAAAAGAATCCTCCCACAGTCCCCAGAATGAACTGTTTGAGAGGCATTCTAGAAGTTGTAAGCAATAGGAATGACATTAAGAAAGTAAGATTGTTTATGGATAACAACTTCTTTATTATATATGATGCAACGTTTCGGTATGGATTCTTATACCGTTGTCAAGCAAGAGTGAAGTACTACAGCACAGAACAGACTTATATACATCAACAGGGATTAAGTAATAACAACATGTAGGAATGAATCAAGGGGATTCACAACAAACAACAAGGCACGGTGGTAATAATGTAGTGACAATAGGAGGAAGCCAACAGGAATGACAAGCGTTTATAGGTGATCAACTTCTTTATTGTACTGTTGCGACGTTTTGGTATAGATGCTTATACCGTTTTTTCATGTTTGAAAACGAAGCAATAGTACAATAAAGAAGTTGATCATCCATTCCCAGTCCCCAGAATATCAAACAGTTGCTTGCTGTAGAGTGTCCCTCCCACCTGTCCACTAATTACAGGTGTGCTTTCTTTAATCTCTAGGGGTGGTGGGGTAGCTTAGTGGTTAAAGCACTCGCTCGTCATGCCGAATGCATGGGTTTGATTCCCCACATGGGTACAGTGTGTGAAGCCCATTTCTGGTGTCCCCTGCTGTGATGTTGCTGGAATATTGCTAAAAGAGGCGTAAGAGCACATTCACTCACTCACTCTTTGATCTGTCCAGACAGTGAAGACGTTTGGTGGTATAGACATATTAGTCTCCAATGCAGCTGTCAATCCAGTATTTGGGCCGATCATGGACGTAAGTTGAATGTTTTCACAGTTAAATGATGTTTCAGTTAACCGGTTTTTATTTAGTTTTGTCTTGTTAGAAACCTTTGTGAAGGGCAATTTCACATGCTGTTGGTTATTGGCATTAAAAATTGTGGAAATAAATATAATGTCAATGTTATTGGCTTACTCATGATGGTAGAAAGAATACTTTCTGAATAGCATTGTGTATTCATAGCATCAGCTGTGGGAGTCATGCTAATTTACACTTATCAGAGGGGTAGGCAAAGTCTGTGGTCTAGACTACCAGCGGCGGTGGCTGAGTGGGTTAGGCGGCTGACTTTGTGTGCTGGCGATTAGGTGCCTGACACTGAGGGTGGGGGTTCGAATGCTGTATAGGACTCAACCCAACAAAAGTACTAGTAGAATCTGTACTTTACTAAGAAAGTGTAATCCCAAATATAATATATGTTACACTGGAGTGAGTGAGTTAATATTTAACATCACATCGGCAATATCTCAGACATATCGTGACGAGAACATATTTGACATTGAAATGGTGTTACACTGGAGGTCTACTCCACTATTAAGGGTTCCTTAAAACTTGACGGTTCCTAAACACTGAAGGGCCTCCTTACAGTTCTATTTTTATTCAACCTTATTAGTTCATTTCTCAGACTATATTTCTGTGTGATATGTACAATGATTCTCAATTTTGTTGAAATATTCAGTTTATGAATATGTTGGGCTTTTCCATCTTTATACAGGAACTTTTCTGTTGTTCTTTCAGACATCCCCGGAATCATGGGACAAGGTAGGTGTACATATTGGTCACAGTTGTAGGGGTGTCTATTGCTAGGGTGGTGATTGTAGCTGTGTTAGTTGTAGCGGCGCTGATTGCTTGAGGTACCACTTGGATAGATATCTGTTGGGAAGATAACAGTTGAAGGGGTGTTGATATGTTGATATGAAGAGGTGTTGGTTTGCAGGGTGTTGGTTTGAAGGGTGTTAGTTTGAAGGGTGTTGGTTTGCAGGGGTGTTGATTAGCAGGGGGTGTTGTTTTGCAGGGGTGTTGGTTTGCAGGGATGTTGATTTGCAGGAGTGTTGTTGCAGGTTGAAGGGGTGTTGATTTGCAGGGATGTTTGTTGGAGGAGTGTTGATTTGCAGGGGTGTTGGTTTGAAGGGTGTTTGTTTGCAAGGGTGCGTGTTGGAGGGTGTTGGTTTGAATGGGTGTTGATTTGAATGGGTGTTGATTTGCAAGAGTGTGTGGTGGAGGGGTGTTGGTTTGAATGGGTGTTGGTTTGAAGGGGTGTTTGTTTGCAAGAGTGTGTGGTGGAGGGATGTTGATTTGAATGGGTGTTGGTTTGAAGGGGTGTTTGTTTGCAAGGGTGCGTGTTGGAGGGGTGTTGGTTTGAATGGGTGTTGATTTGCAAGGGTGTTTGTTTGAAGGGGTGTTTGTTTGCAAGAGTGTGTGGTGGAGGGATGTTGGTTTGAATGGGTGTTGGTTTGAATGGGTGTTGATTTGCAAGAGTGTGTGGTGGAGGGGTGTTGGTTTGAATGGGTGTTGGTTTGAATGGGTGTTTGTTTGCAAGAGTGTGTGGTGGAGGGGTGTTGGTTTGAATGGGTGTTGGTTTGAATGGGTGTTGATTTGCAAGGGTGTTTGTTTGAAGGGGTGTTTGTTTGCAAGGGTGCGTGTTGGAGGGTTGTTGGTTTGAATGGTTGTTGATTTGCAAGGGTGCTTGTTGGAGGGGTGTTGATTATGGTACCTGGAACAATGTTGTCATTGTTGTACAGGAGGATGCTTTCACTCATGTTGCCATGGCAATCATGTGTGCATGTATACTTAGCAGCCGGAAACTGTAACATGACACATGAATAGCTATTAGTTACCCGTTACCAGTTAGAATTGGCCTTCAGCAACCCACATTTGTCGTAAAAGGCGACAAACAGGATCGGTTGGTCAGGCTGACTTGGTTGACACATGTCATCGTATCCCAGTTGTGTAGATTGATGCTCGCTGGATTGTCCAGACTCGATCATTTACTGGAATATATAGCTGGAGTTTGGCTGTGTGCTGCGTTAAACAACAAACCATCCAACCAACCAAAATTTGTAGCATCAAGTTGTAATTAAACTGAATCTGTATCAGTGTTTGTTTCTTTTCAGATATTCGATATTAATGTCAAGGCAACATTCTTCCTGTGCAAAGAGACTTTACCGTACATAAAAGAGAGAGGGTAAGATTTCTGGTTGCTGATAGTGTGTGTTGTTAAGAATAACATTAAAACTTACATGGGAAGAATATCTTGAAGAACTTGCCAATCTGATATGCTCAGATGGTGTCAGTTTAATTCTTGTGGAAGTATCTTTGGCTAAAATGATGGAAGTCTTGGGTCTCATGCACCGCCTTGTCATTAATTTCGCGGAACATTTCATTCTTATTTCTGTTACTATAAAAGAATTGACAAATATTCCTGAACACATGACCCCAGTTAGTGAAACGCTTCAGTGGTATAAATATTGAAATCCTCTGTAGTTTTACTTTCCTTTGCGTGTACTCTGATTTACAATGTATACCAATAAAAAAAAAGTAGGGGATATTCCATTTTGCAAGCATATCACTAGCCAATGCCAATACATATGAGAAAAAGTAATATATCTACACAGATGAAACATTTCCAAAGGAATGGAATAAATTGTCACATTTTCCCTTAATTTCTCTTTATCATCTGCTTTCCTCCTTTGCTACATCAATCTTGTAAATCCAATATCCCCTAATTTTTTTAATGGTATATCTTGTGTAACGGTCATGACGGTAGTGTGTGTTTGTGATCGTCTTTTTGCTGTACAAAATTTGGTCCATGACAATATGAAATTTCAGATATCACTAGATGTGATGCTTTACAACTTCAGTGGTATTTATTGTATGATCTGCCAGAAAATAATTCCAACATTGACATTAAGATGACATGTGTGTTTGTCACATAAGCGGGACACACATGACAGTCAGCTGTTTACAGTATTTTTCCGCCCATTGTTGATGTTTATGGGTGATTCAGGTTAACAATGTAAACCAATGTGGAGAGAACTTTACAATGTGATATGCTCAGATAGCACTATCAGTGTAAGGCCTGATTGAAGCAGGACCAGATCGGTGCTTGCTGACACTCTTAGTTAGGATCAGTTACGTTAATGGGGCTTGTTTCCAGCGTCAAATATTGTTTTGTTCCAGCAAGGGCTCAATAGTTCTCATCAGTTCTGTTGCTGGATATGTACCCTTTAATGTGAGTATCCTTGTATAACACCGTTTAATGTGAGTATCCCTGTATAACACAGTTTAATGTGAGTGTCCCCCCAATAACACCCTTTAATGTGAGTATCCCTGTATAACACCCTTTAATGTGACTATCCCTGTATAACACCCTTTAATGTGAGTATCCCTGTATAACACAGTTTAATGTGTCTATCCCTGTATAACCCAGTTTAATGTGACAATCCCTGTATAACCCAGTTTAATGTGACAATCCCTGTATAACACAGTTTAATGTGACAATCCCAGTATAACACCCTTTAATTTGAGTATCCCTGTATAACACCCTTTAATGTGAGTATCCCTGTATAACACCCTTTCATTTGAGTATCCCTGTATAACACCCTTTAATTTGAGTATCCCTGTATAACACCCTTTAATGTGAGTATCCCTGTATAACACCCTTTAATGTGAGTATCCCTGTATAACACCCTTTAATGTGAGTATCCCTGTATAACACCCTTTAATGTGAGTATCCCTGTATAACACAGTTTAATGTGAGTATCCCTGTATAACACAGTTTAATGTGAGTATCCCTGTATAACACCCTTTAATGTGAGTATCCCTGTATAACACCCTTTAATGTGAGTATCCCTGTATAACACCCTTTAATGTGAGTATCCCTGTATAACACCCTTTAATGTGAGTATCCCTGTATAACACCCTTTAATGTGAGTATCCCTGTATAACACCCTTTAATGTGAGTATCCCTGTATAACACCCTTTAATGTGAGTATCCCTGTATAACACCCTTTAATGTGAGTATCCCTGTATAACACCCTTTAATGTGAGTATCCCTGTATAACACCCTTTAATGTGAGTATCCCTGTATAACACCCCTTTAATGTGAGTATCCCTGTATAACACCCTTTAATGTGACTATCCCCTCTATAACACCCTTTAATGTGAGTATCCCCTATAACACCCTTTAATGTGAGTATCCCTGTATAACACCCTTTAATGTGAGTATCCCTGTATAACACCCTTTAATGTGAGTATCCCTGTATAACACCCTTTAATGTGAGTATCCCCTATAACACCCTTTAATGTGAGTATCCCTGTATAACACCCTTTAATGTGAGTATCCCCTCTGTAACACCCTTTAATGTGACTATCCCCCTAAAACACCCTTTAATGTGAGTATCCCTCTGTAACACCCTTGATTGTGAGTATCTCTGTATAACACCCTTGAATGAAAGTATCCCCCTATTGCATCCTTTAATTTTTGTATCCCCTATATGTAAAACCCTTCAATGTGAGTACCCCTAAAGAACACCATTTAATGTGTGTATCCCCAATATAACACAATTTGATATGGGTACACCCTATATAAAACAATTTCATGTGGGTATACGCTATATAACACCTTTTAATATATAACACCCACAACTTAATGTGAGTATCCCCATTATAACACCATTTTATGGATATCCCATAACAACATTTAATGTGGGTATGTGTATTTCCAATATACCACCCTTAAATGTGAGTAGCTTAATGTGAGAAGCCTCTATATAACACCCTTTAATGTGAGTAGCCTCTATATAACACCAATTAATGTGAGTAGCCTCTATATAACACCCTTTAATGTGAGTAGCCACCTTTTTAACACCCTTTAATGAGAGTAGCATCTATATAACACCCTTTAATGAGAGTAGCCTCTATATAACACCCTTTGATGTGAGTAGCCACTATATAACACCCTTTGATGTGAGTAGCCACTATATAACACGCTTTAATGTGAGTAGCTTGTATGGTGTTTAGAGGACTACATTGTCTACCTACAGCTGCTGGGCCCCTACTCTGTAAGTAAGACATCGCTGCTGGGTCTGTCCAAGGCCATGGCCCCTGAACTAGCTGCCGACAATATCCGGATAAATGTGGTGTGCCCGGGACTCATCAAAACCAAATTCAGCCAAGCCGTGAGTTGACATCTTTTCTGTGTCCAGTGCCAAGGTCATCTGTTCATGTCTGCTGTCAATGGTTCACTGTTTATTGAGCTACCAGCCCTTCTGTATCCACTGCCAAGGCCATCTGTTCACATCAGGAGTTAATGGTTCACTATTAAGTGAGCTACCAGCTCTTCCGTATCCCCTGCCAAGGTCCTGTGTTAATGTCAGGTGTAAATGTCAGCAGTTAATGGTTCACTGTTTGGTGAGCTGCGAGCTCTTCTGTATCCCCTGCCAAGGTCCTGTGTTAATGTCAGGGGTTAATGGTTCAATGCTAAGGGAACTGAAATACATGGAGTCTTCTCCAGACTAACTATGTATTCAGCGGCGACCTTGACCTTATTTCAAGGTCACCACGACACTTTGACCACTTTTCAAACTCTTGTTAACGCGATAACTCATGAACTGTTGTACCCAATGTGACCACTTTTCAAACTCTTGTTATTTGGTGACAGCCTACATTAGGGGATTACACAGCGATATCTCATGAACTGTTGTACCCAATGTCTTGAAATTTGGTGACAGCGTACATTAGGGGATTACACAGACACCAGTCGATTTGGGTGACCTTGACCTTATTTCAAGGTCACCATGACACTTTGACCACTTTTCAAACTCTTGTTAATGACACTTTGACCACTTTTCAAACTGTTGTTGATATCTCATGAACTGTTGTACCCAATGTCTTGAAATTTGGTGACAGCCTACATTAGGGGATTACACAGACACCAGTCGATTTGGGTGACCTTGACCTTATTTTCAAGGTCACCATTTCAAGGTCACCATGACACTTTGAATACTTTTCAAACTGTTGTTAACGTGATATCTCATGCACCGTAGTATCCAATACATGTATCTTCAAATTTGGTTACAGCCTACATTGGGGGATTACGCAGACACCAGTTTATTTGGGTGACCTTGACCTTATCTTCAAGGTCACCACGACACTTTGACCACTTTTCAAACTCTTGTGAACTCGATATCTCATGGACTGTTGTACCCAGTGTCTTGAAATTTGGTGACAGCCTACATTGGGGGATTACGCAGACACCAGTTTATTTTGGTGACCTTGACCTTGTCTTTAAGGTCACCACGACACTTTGCACGCTTTTAACTCTTGTTAAGGAGACATCTCATGGACTGTTGTACCCAATGTCTTGAAATTTGGTGACAGCCTACATTGGGGGATTACGCAGACACCAGTTTATTTTGGTGACCTTGACCTTATCTTCACGGTCACCACGACACTTTGAACACTTTTCAAACTTATTTAAACGCGATATCTCATAAAACATTGCACCCAATGTTTTCAAGTATGTTGACAGCCTACATTGGGTGATTATGCAGACACCAGTCATTACAGGCATCTTGTATGTGACCCAAAAATAAAAAGTAGTAAATATAGATATTCCATTCTTTAGCAGCGGGGACATTGCCATATCATTGGCAAACACTTGTTGTTTTTGTTTTCAGTTGTGGAAGAGTGATGCGGCCCTTGAGAAGACACTTGAAGGGATCCCCCTCAGACGGTAAGTCTCACGACATGCAAGATGTCAGTGACAGGATATTGCTGATCACACTTGAATCTGATGGTTGTGATGAACATTCTCCAGTTTTGTAATGTGCAAAATCAATCATTTTGTCTGTGAAGTCAAATGAGCATATGCCTACCGAGAACACTCATCAAGTGCTTTGTTGTTAACATGCTAAACTGCATCTGTCAGGGATTAACAAGGAGTCCTGTATTTGAGGGTCCCTGGGACTCATACTCTTATTTTTCAGGGGTCATGGACAACAAAATGGGGGTCCCAGACACTTAAATATTATTATTAATACTGTTATTGTATTGTGTATCATGATCATCACATTGTTACAGTAATTAAATTGCAAATAATACCATAACCCAGCTACTATCAAACTCAGTGATAACTTATTGTCACTTGATTGGAATTTTTACAAAAAGTATTTGGACTTAGTTTTGGAGTCCCTGTGGACTAATAAATTTTGTTGCGTCCATTGTCAATTTTTATGAGTATAGGATGCAGGAATTCGCGTCCTGTAAATCCCTGATCTGTGAACAGAGAGTGTTTAGAAGCACAAAGGTAAATGGCTTGATCCCTGGCTTAACATCCAAAAAGATGTTAAAAGTCAGTGTACTTGTCACCCAGCCTTGCATTTAAGTGGACAAAGGAACGGCTGACCGACCATAATGTGTCTCTGAGCAGTTTCCTTGTTGAAGTGCTGCATGCTGTCTGGATGGTGGTTTTAATTTTCTTCAGAATTGGTGAACCAGAGGATTGTTCTGGGATTGTATCGTTCCTGGTGTCGGACGACGCTAGCTATATGACCGGGGAATCTGTTCTGGTGACTGGGGGACGGTCGGCTCGTCTCTGAGGTTGAGGTGCATTGACGTTTCTCTTTCAGAATCGGTGACCCCGAAGATTGCTCAGGGATTGTGTCCTTCTTGGCATCTGATGACTCGAGTTACGTAACAGGCGAGTCCGTGCTTGTGACTGGAGGAATGACAGCCAGACTGTGATTACACTGTATAAACAGAGAACTTCATGAAAGAAGTGTATGATAATCAGATGATTGATATAGGATGATTGATTGAGGGATGAGTCTTGGTGCAGCAGGATGTGTTGATATCACATCATCAAAACAATATCTTATTTAGTTTTGTCTTCATTTTGTACTTTTGATAACTTTAAGAAAAAATGTTCAAAATGAGCTTAGGTTTGAAACATTTTTGGAAACAGTAAGACTGCTTTCTGTAGATCTTGATTTCCAATGACAGTAACTCAAACCACAATGTAATATACTTGTATAATTGTAATATCTATGTAATACTGGTTACTGTTACATTTATACATCATCATCATTAAGAAGATATTTAATAAAACACATGTACCATTTACTAATATGTTATTACCCAAAGTTGTTTTTGTATTTTTTTTATCTTTACTGAATGTACACACCAACCTTATATTAACTCATGTATGCCAGCTCCTAAGTCAAGTGACATTGTTCAAGATGCCTTGGTTCACCCTTCCGCCATGTTATACCTGGCGGGATGAGATGTCATGTGAATTAGTGAAGTAAAACAGTATCTAGTATCTTTGGTTTGATACTCCCCAAGGTGTTGAAAATATAATAATTTATGTATTTTGAGCATGGTCGAGGGTAGTGTTGGGAATTGGTTAAAATCTCATAATTGATGATTGGTTCATTACAACCGATCAATCATCGAAAATAATTGGTTAGCGTCATTTATGAAATTTGTTAATGCACATAAAAATAAGGAAAAAAACATGTAGTTCTTTTGGGGCTTTTTGGCAAAATTTCACATATTTAAAGGATGACTAGTATGTTAGGAACATAAATTTCTTGGAGCCTTTAAGATAAATTCAATCATGACTTGAAACGAGCTTGTAGTGCTTACAAAATGTAACAGACAAAACCAACCATGTGAAAAATATTGTTAATGAAAACAAGTGTTCCAAAATTGGTTGTGTTCGATTATGAGAAATTATGATCGATTGCTTGGTCGTTTAGTCACTACGACCAATCTTCTATTATTTCAATTAATCGGACCACCACTAGTCGATGGGCATGCATCCAACACAATACATATATTCATTATATATCATTACGATAGCTTTTCATTGATACATCTGAGTTTGCCTTTGTTTTATGCAGTACTCAGTATTCAAGCTGTATGACTGTGGCCTGTGCAGAGTCTGGTCGACAGTCCTGGGAATCCCCACATAATACATGAACCATGTTATGGCACTTCCAATGTTTTGTTTAGGAGCTCCTGGGATGGTGGAGTAGCCTAGTGGTTAAAGCGTTCGCTTATACCGCCGAAGACTTCAGTTCCATTCCCTACATGAGTACAATGTGTGAAGCCCATTTCTAGTGTTCCCTGCCATAATTGCTGGAATATTGATATAGTACGGTAAAAGTAAACTCACTTATAAGCTCCTATCAGTATTAGATGAAATCAACCTGTATTTCTACTGATGCAGCCAGAACAAGGATCAAAATGATGTTGAACCAATTATTTAAGCCCCCATTCAATGGATCCTGTATAACAAGTGTATGTAACTCTGTCCAACTCTGATCGCTGGGACACCAGTGACCCTTTTGCAAGAAGACAAGTAGATGACAACGTTTCCAAATTTTGTACCGGTTGTGCTAATTTGCTGAAATATTACAAGACAATGTAGACAAGACTTTGTGAATGTCAAAATGATCATGCACAACTCTTTGAGCATCTCACGCTGAAAACCCGGGTTCGAATCCCCACATGGGCACAATGTGTGAAGCCCATTTCTGGTGTCCCCGCCGTGATGTTGCTGGAATATTGCTAAAAGCGGCGTAAAACCAAACTCAGTCAGTCTTTGAGCATCACTCTAACCATATCATATAATGGCAGGGCACACCGAGCTTATCAAGCGTAGGTTAGGCGGCTGACTTTGTGTGCTGGCAATTAGGTGCCCGACTCTGAAGGTGTGGGTTCGAATCCCGGATGGGACTCAACCCAACAAAAATACTAGAATATGTACTTTACTGAGAAAGTGTAATCCCAAATATAAGATATGTTACATTTGACCACTTTCTAAATGGCATTGTGTATTCAAAGCATAGATTCAGTTCTGGATCTTTGTCTGTGCTACGTTCTGGTGACAGCAACAAGCAACACATATGTTCACTGGTATGGAAAATAGTTTATTACCGACAATCAGCTGAGACTACAGTGAGTTCAATGAATCTCGTCTAACATTTGTAACATGCATCTAGTCACTGTTTCAATGGAACTAACATTGTAAACAGCCAGATCTGCTACATCCCACAGGAGATCACCTTCACATTCCCTGGAAACCACTGCATCAAACCTTCCACACTTGGCCACGTCATTAGTAAGGGAGTTGGATTAAAACGGAATTGCACAGAATTTCAGTCTTGTCAGATAATATTGGAAGGAAACTGGAAGTGATGCAGGACTTTATGAATGTTGAAACCACTAGCATGGATATGTGCTCACTAACCTGGACACAGAATCAGGGCAAACTGGGATTTGAATCAATGATCATAGGTTTCTGGTATGCCAAGGGACATAACTCTATACAATGACTTCTGGCAACTTAGACAACAGAGCCATCGGTGCCCTCACTTAGGAATAGAATGGTCACCACTTCTGACAGTACTGTTAACTTCCATACCAAACTTCTTCATACTCATGTTGTAGGAAGTCTACGTCAACATGAGTATAAAGAATGACTTCAACGTGTCGTCTGCCATTGTACCATTTGTACTTACTTTGGCAAATTGCTGAAACAATCACTGAAAGTCAAGGTCAAAGGGATATTTTGAAGATTTACAACAAAAATCCTAACATTTTACAAATTTCAGGTCAAGCAAACATGCCAAAAAAGAAAGTATGATATTTAACAGACTTTGTCTTCTGTGTATCTGTCGATTCTATTCTCCATTAGCAGGTAAGTATAAACATGTTAGGGAGCAAGATACACACTGTTTGATCCTGATCCCAGGAAGGTAAGGTGCAGCAGTTTGCCAGGAATGATGAGGAACCAGCAACGTGGCATGTACCGACCATGGTTGATGTGACACCAACTCTAAGCAGCATGTTACCATGATAACTAATGTTAATAATTTGGCACCCGATATCTACCACACACTGTTAGACCTGTGTTAGTTAAGACTGACTGTTGTGCTACTGCTAATCTGTTGAATTTACTCGTGTATATACCCAAGGAGACACAGTACAGAATGAGGGAACGTTCTCTTTGACTATGACAGTCCTTGATGCACATGCCAAGTAAGACCACACAAAGTCTTGCAAAACAAACAAACCCTCATCCTTTTATACATCTTTGACCGACAAAAAAATAATAATAAAAATATTCAAAACAATCTCATGAATGCAAATTGACCTTATTTTAATCATTTTCCTCAAATACTTTTCTAATCTTTTATAAATAAAACATATTCTTTGAGTATGAAAAACATTTCTTTATTGACAATTTAGACCCTTAAGCTGAGTCTTAAAATTACTAAATATTCAAAAATAAAAACTTTGGCCTGAGCTAAGAACATGAACTTTGTGGAAGACCGGTTTTAGCTGGATGGTTACTGATCTGCCAGTGATCAGAAAGTAGGGATGATCTGTGCCCCCACCCCACACAAAAAATACACAAAAAACTAGTGAATAGACTCTAGGGTGTCTCCCTAAAAGTATAGTAAAAATAATTTAGGGTGTCTGCCTAAGAAACTAGTGAAGATAATTTAAGGTGTCTTCCGATGAAACTAGTAAAACAATCTCGGGTGTTTACTTAAGTAACTAGTGATGCTAACTTTGGGTGTTTACCTAACAAACTAGAAGAGAGGCTGTCAGATGTAAGGCTATGTCATAAAGAACCTAGCATGAAACTACTTTGGCTTCTTTAGGAACCAGTGGAGAACTGTGCAATGTCTCCTCAAAGACTAGCAGAGAGACTTGATGTCCCCATGGAATGATACCAACACAAGAACACACAGACTATCAACTGTATTAGTCATGATAGTCACATCAGCTACGATTTCCGTCACCTTACTTGCTTACTAGTCAAAAGTACAATGTGTATCAATTTGCTTTATATATGATTGAAGAAAACAAAACAAAGCACAGTTTAACTCAAGTCATGAAAATTCCTATTACAATATATTGCCAGTAACCTAATGTTCTGTACACTTGGAGCACTTGTTTGATGGCATTAACCGATGCAGAATAAATAAAGCCATTTGCAATGCATCATTGTCAAGCCGGAGGCTTCCACAGGCAGATCTGATGGACTCTAGTTAGAAGACAACAAAACAAACAATATTCATAAATATATAGCAAACAAATATATATCTGTAAAATCTTCATCACAAAAGTTTCATCCAGAAGAAACAAACAAAAAACAGTTTCATATATTAATAACTAATGCATATTTTTCTATCCATGACACCAAGCATACCAGAGGCTCTCAGAAGAAAATGTACAAAATGTATATCTACACAATCTTGGGTTTGAATATTTATACTTTAACTGGAACTGGCTGCATAGTTTGAGCAAACTAATCTTCTGAAAGAGCTGTTATCAAGTATTTATTTCTGTATGGACTTGTTTATGATATGTTTGCAAAATGATGCCAAGTCATTACATATTCAATGGAGACAGAATATGAAAATAGTCTAAATTGTACGTTTTGGTGGTGAGCTTTTGCCTCCATGAGTAAAGAAGCACATCCTAAAAATACAACGTGGCCGTAGCTACTTATTACTATAATCTTGAAGTGTATTAATCTTACTGACATAAAGAAGTTTTTTTCTTGGTTTGGACAAATACAAATCACATTGATCAATTCATTATATACTATTATTCTATAGTGAGTTAGGTTTCATAAACTAACTCAAAGCATGTCAAACAAGATTGAGGTTGCCAAACCAGCCTCCCCTTAATTCCGGTTCTCATTTCCTCATCCTGAATCTCAAATCTCAAAAGCACATGTCTGAAATCACTCTCCAAAAGGCTGAAACCCCATAGAAGATGTTATTACACATAATACAAAGATTAAAGTTAACTGAAAATATTTAAAGGAAATTTTTAAGTGCAACCATTTCTTTTTTAAATGTTTGAAATCTCCAAATGCAATTGTATTTGCACCCGTCTACCACACCTGTTGTGCCTGATTACCCTCTAAATAGACCCCGGAATCCCAGGTACCAAAGCACGGTTGGCAGCCTCAAGCTTCAGTATTTGACACTGGCTTGAATCCAAAGACACATGGCCTTCACCCATAAATGCATGGTAACACAGGCAGTTAACACTTGTATAAAGCTGGACTACTGTGTCGCGAAACACACAAGGATTTCAAAAACAAAAACACAACAAAAAATACAAACCATGTTAAATATGTTGCTGTGGGAGGTATTCCAAGAGGATCAGACATTATCAGAACAGACCATTTTAGGCCAAGGACGTTAGATATTTATTGGAAAGACTGACTGAGTATGGTTTTACGCTGTTTTTATCAATATTCTAGCAATATCATGGCGGGGGACACCAGAAATTGGCTTCACAAATTGAACCCATGTAGGGAATCGAACCCGGGTCTTCGGTGTGACGAGCGAAGGTTTTAACCACTAGGCTACCCCACCGCCCCTTATTGGAAAGAGTCCACACTGACATAGTTTATATTTTGCTATTTTATAACCGTTACACCTTTTGATAAATTCTTGGGTCTAAAACAGATTTTTTAAACATAATTTCTTAAATTATTTCCCTATCCCAAGCAAAGATTGGTCAGCACCTTATATTTGTTCAATGCCTTTTAACACTTTAAACTTGATACATAAATCATTGTTGTGCCCTGAGTTTGTCATCAATACTAATGTCCTTTGCTTGATACCAGTTCAGTAACCACACCAGAAGAATCTGAACCGTATAGGAGCAATGATTCCTGAACCACGGCAACTAAGAGCATGACATCAATCAGAAATACTTGATATGATTCTTTCAAGGATCAAGTGTCAGATGTGTGAGGCCTTAAGACCAGATCTCATAATTTGTGAAGTGAATTTCCTCATAAAAACAGACAAGTCAGTTTGAACACCATGAGAACACTGTTGAGGTTTCCAGGAGACCTACAATGGGAATGTTTTTCTGTGTTGTTAATAGTTCAGGTGGTTCTATAGACGTTTTCCTCACTTAACCACACATCAAACGTGCTTAAATCAAGATGTGCACTGACAAGCCACATTGAGAAAATACACCTCATTGTCTGTTGCAACAAGACTGTGAAACAATACACTGCAGCAAACATCAGAGTCTGAGAGCTAGAAATACAACAGAGGTCATGATGCAACCCGATGTAAGACACTGCAGCCAACATCAGAGGTCATGATGCATCCGATGTACATGCATCTTGATGTGAGACACTGCAGCCAACATCAGAGTCTGAGAGCTAGAAATACAACAGAGGTCATGATGCATCCGATGTAAGACACTGCAGCCATCATCAGAGGTCATGATGCATCCGATGTAAGACACTGGAGCCATCATCAGAGGTCATGTTGCAACTGGACGAGTCTAAGAACAAAACACTTCAGACTACATCAGACATCTCTTTGCAACTGGTTGAATCTAAGGGCAAACCACTGCAGCACGTCACATGTCCTTATGCAACTGGGTAAGTCTGAGACCACACTTTCTTCAACTGACATTGATGACTAGTGACTGATTGTGTCATAAACAAGATAACATTCCTCTCAGATAGTTTTATTAAAAAATATAAGCTATAATCTTTGGCCTGTATGTCTAGAAATGCAAACATCTCACAGTTGAACAATCTGAGTTATATTGATAATCAAAATATATGAGCACAGAAACCTCATGTCCATAACAGGAATATCTGTTTTCAAGAAACAGTCCTATCTTAAATATGTTCCACACAATATCTAAATATATCTTCATACAGATTAGTTACAAAAGCAATAGCCATACCCCAATATCTTAATTTTGAACACTTTCTTATTAGGCCAGAAAATTAAGATACAAGGATAATAAAAACTGTTATTCAAATATTCAGAAGTGACTTTGCAAAGTAAATGAAACTATAAACTCATTATTTCAAAAATAGAAGTCGTGTCCCAGCCTTAAATATATGTTTATTTATACTACTCAGCATTTGCAAAGGGTATCACCTTTGAGTAAAAATGACTAGATCCTTAACAAATCTTGAGTAGTATAATGGCAGTATTCACATCTTTACAATGAAAGTGAATACAAAACTATCCTACTAACTCTGAAAGAGTTCAATGAAATGCCTGAGTCAGCAAAATAGTACATTGGGTTCAACGACGACGACAACCACAACACCATCACAGCGGAAGCAGAACAACTTTAACATAACAAGACTCAACACACACATGCTATTTACCTACAGCTGCACAAGACAATCTTATATCACTGTCTATACTCAGATCACAGTACAATCACATTGCATATTCTGTTAACTTATTACCAAAATGATTACATCCTGTTTTGTACAAGAATCTAAGCAACTTATTTACATATTGATACAGCTGTCTGTGTAATGTAAGGAAGAGACAAATCTGTCAGCAGATTGCTGGACCTAGCAAGGAAGAAGAGGTCATAGTCTGTATTAATTGGTTTACCTATCTGGGACCTATCTGAAGGTGGTTGGTAAAAGAGAATTCATGAAATTGGTTTTCAACTTCCAGATTAACACACTATGTTTTAACATGGCAAGATACTGAAAGGTCACTGATGGTTTGTATTGTTAGAATACAATTTTTATATGTAATCATGCATGGTTTCTTAAGAATAATAGTGATCAAATGTCAAGTTTTTCTTTCAATTTCCACGTAACTGCAAAACAGCCAATTTATTTTTCTTAAAAGTCATTCTATTTTTGTTACAATAATCGTTCTTTTTCTTCAACAATTTTGTAAACCAATCCAGGAAAGCACAATACCCTAGCTTCTTTGCCATATTCCTTCTGGGAATGTCAGACTTCAACCTGAGGCTGTAATGGCACTGATCTTGTGTATACAAGGATATATACTTGTCCTTGGTGTGGAGCAGTACATTGTAAAAGTAGGGAACATTTGTGTAGCTTGGTTTTGGTTAGGGTACATTCCCATACACAGAAATGTAGTATCTTATATGACCTCTTCAGCCTTAGCAATAGAGTACATCATCTACGATATACAACATGTAATTCATTCCTCAACCAATCATACACTGGTTCAGTGGACATCTTGATCTGTTGGCCTCCACCTTCAGTACCAGCCACTGCTGTGTCTATGGGATCTGACAAGCAGTCTCTCAACAACATATTACATATGTACACATGTATATAATTAACAAAGCGTATTTATCAATAGAACTGGGATTGCAACAAAATCATCCGGTTGCAGGTTTTAGTACATCCATTCTACATCAGGAGGGTATGCTTGGCAGAGCTCAATAAACTACCAGGATATATCACTCGATTAATGAAATAAGGCAATAAGCTGACAATCATTTTCATGTATGAAGTACATAATTCTTACATAATTCTGAAATGATTAGTGTGTTCCAGGATATAATGGCTTACAATCAAACAATGACCACTCTTTTCATGTAGTCTAATCAAAGGCTGCTGGGTACCTTCCCTCAGCTGAAATCCCCATCAGGGTAGGTTGTATGTGAGGGTGATTGCAATGAACTGTGAGGGTAACAGTTGGGAGCAGAGGGGAAAGGGGTCAAGAGTGACTGTGAAGGGTAAGGGTCAGACTGTGTAGGGTGTAAGGGTCAGACTGTGCAGGGGTAAGGGTTGGACAGTGAGGGTAAGAGGATTGGGTACTGAGAGGGATACAGGTCAGACTGTGTAGAGATAAGGGTGAGACTGTGAGGGGGGAAGGGTGAGACTGTGCAGGGGTAAGGGTGAGACTGTGCAGGGGTAAGGGTCAGGCTGTGTAAGGGTGAGACTGTGCAGGGGTAAGGGTGAGACTGTGAGGGGGTAAGGGTGAGACTGTGAGGGGGTAAGGGTGGAGTGAGACTGTGAGACTGTGCAGGGGTAAGGGTCAGACTGTGAGGGGTAAGGGTCAGACTGTGCAGGAGTAAGGGTCAGGCTGTGCAGGGGTAAGGGTCAGACTGTGAGGGGTAAGGGTAAGACTGTGAGGGGGTAAGGGTGAGACTGTGCAGGGGTAAGGGGTGAGCCTGTGAGGGGTAAGGGTGAGACTGTGCAGGGGTAAGGGTGAGACTGCAGGGGTAAGGGTCAGACTGAGGGGGTAAGGGTCAGACTGTGCAGGGGTAAGGGTTGGACAGTGAGGGTAATAGGATTGGGTACTGAGAGGGATACAGGTCAGACTGTGTAGCGGTAAGGGTGAGACTGAGGGGGTGAGGTTAGATTGATGGGGTAAGGGTCAGACTGTGTAGGGGTAAGGGTCAGACTGTGAGGGGGCAAGGGTCAGACTGTGAGGGGGCAAGGGACAGACTGTAAGGGGTAAGGGACAGACTGTGAAGGGGTAAGGGTCAGAATGTGTAGTGGTAAGGGTCAGACTGAGAGGGGAATAAGGTCAGACTGTGAAAAATGTGTTGTGTTCGCTAGTGGTGGTGTGTAAGCAGTTTCTTCATAGACAATGCTGTAAAGACACATTTACCTGTATGTTTGTATGAAATATGTTACTTGAGCACATAATTACAAACAACAAATCTGGCAAGATACTGGTTGGCTATCTAATGTGGGCTTCCTATGAGACACAATTTGAACACTAACACAAACAGGAAGACCCCAAAATGCTTCCACACCACCACATCTCCATCAGAGGACCACAGCTTGACTGAGATTATACAAAGTTACATTTTCACTTTCTATGAAATCAAAATCTGACCAAATTATGAAATATCACAGTCCTGAATCAGAGTTGTTTTGGCATATTTAATGAACACACTGTACATATTTAATGTACACATTAAATACCCAAAACCAAATGCAGAGTCACTTTATTCTCTAAGCCTGTCTGCACATTCACCTCGCCATTATAAGTCTATCTGTACATTTATCATTCCACTATAAACCTGTACATTTACCATCCTACTACAAGACTGTCTGTACAATCACCTCCCTATTATAAGTCTATCTGTACATTTCTACTACACTTACATTCTACTATAAAACTGTACATTCAGCACCCCACTTCAAGACTGCCTGTACATTCAGCATTCCCACTTCAAGACTCCCACTTCAAGACTCTGTATTATTCAGTCTGTATATTCAGCATCCCACTTCAAGACTGCCTGTACATTCAGCATCCCACTTCAAGACTGTCTGTACATTCAGCATCCCACTTCAAGACTGTCTGTACATTCAGCATCCCACTTCAAGACTGTCTGTACATTCAGCACCCCACTTCAAGACTGTCTGTATATTCAGCACCCCACTTCAAGACTGCACTGTACATTCAGCATCCCACTTCAAGACTGTCTGTACATTCATTCTGTACATTCAGCATCCCACTTCAAGACCCCACTTCAAGACTGCACCCCACTTCCATCATCCCACTTCAAGACTGTCATTCAGCATCCCACTTCCCAAGACTGTCTGTATATTCAGCACCCACTTCAAGACTGATATTCTGTATATTCAGCATCCCACTTCAAGACTGTCTGTATATTCAGCACCCCACTTCAAGACTGCATGTACATTCAGCACCCCACTTCAAGTCTGCCTCTACATTCAGCACCCCTTTACAAGACTGTCTGTATATTCAGCACCCCAGTATAAGTCTGTCTGTACATTTACCAACCCTTATAAAGACTCTCTGTACAGACATTACCCTGCCCTACAAAGCACATAACTCCTGTGACTATATAAGCCATTATAACTGTACAAACACAAGACATTATAACTGTACCAGTTGAAATACGGGCAAAACAGCTGACATATTTTGTAAACTCACTGAAACTTCACCATCGTCCTGCAAGAGTGCCTCAACATACTCTATGTCTAACAAACTACCAATATGAATTTTAAAAGTACTTGAGAGTTTCAAACACGCTCAACTGACACAATCAACTGTACCATCTCTGAGAACAAAAATTAAGTCAACACTACAACACAATACATACTTTAAATATGAATAGCAATATTGTGTTAGTTCCAGTTTATTGGGTAAATTATATGTCACAAGTTTCATTAATATTTGAACATAGTTAAAATTGTATAATTTTAGCTCCATTTCATAAAACAGTAAAACAACACTCAAGTTTTCTTCTGTGTTAAGTTAAATATGTTATGAAGACACACATGCATGATCTGACTGATTATAAGAATTCACATGACAAAGTCAAAATGGTGATTGTTAAAGTGTTAAAGGTACAGGTTCATGGAGACAGTCTTAATCATTCATCAAAACTTTCCCTTGCAATTAATACCATATTTGAAGACCATAAAATGTAACGTTGACTATGTTTTGAGACACAATACATATTGCATTGGTGAAATGTTTAAGAATGCCAAGTCTGGAGTCTGACAATGGACAATCAACACAGAGTTACAGATCCATAAACCTATTGGGTAGACATCTACTGGCCATTCCACAGTGACGACCCTGACAGTTTGTGATTGTTTGACAGTTTGGAAGAATTAACTGTATGACTTATCTCTCAGGAACAAATATATAGTGTTTTATTGTATCACATTTTATTAAAGATATAAAGGGAAAATATATTCATAAAAATACTCCACTGATCAAAATATTAGAATTGTTCTCTGCACTGGAAGATGTTTTAATGAAATATCAACTACATACAACTTCGCACAGGGCAGACCTCAACCATTGCTGCATACTCTGTGCAAACTGCATTGAGGTAAAATGTTTTCATGCAGCACCAACAACTCAATGCAATTTGCACAAAAACTGCAACCTAGTCTTTGGCGCCAGCAGTTCCATAGGTTTTCAGTTTACACAAAGGCTAACCTAACCATTTGTGATACCTCCACACAGCTTTCACCTGGGTGCATTCAATTCAGTTTGCACCATGGTGCAACTCCATACATCTTCACTCCACACAGCTTGCACCAGGGTGCAACTCCATACAACTTGAACCAAGGTGCAATCAATTCAGCTTGCAACAGGTTGCATTCAATTCAGCTTGCGCAAGGGTTCAATTCCATACAGCTCTTGACAAGTTTACCAGACATACAATGGCAGAAATGACTTCACACAAATCTTAGCACCTATGGTACATCTGTCCAATTTTCCATAGGTGCCAACTTCTCTAGTGGCGCCAGCAATTCCTTACAACTTGCAGCTCTTCTTTCAGCACCAACAACCTTGTTCAGGCAGTGCTCGTGAACCATTCTTCAGAATCAACTACTTCTAAATACTTGTACTGGGTGCTTTATCCCTCAGTCGGCACCAACAACATACTATTGCAGCATGGCACATTTGAATCAGCTTTTAGATGGTCAACTCTTTGGCATAAGCTACAAACCATTTGTAAACGTCTATAGTTACAACTATGATGTACAAGCTTCATACACGACACGGATTTATATCCTATGGTACCTTTGAAGTACAACTTCTAAGTGTAGGACGAGGTCCTATTGGCAAAGAAACGTGAGGGAAGATCTCCCGATTATAAGACAAGGATGAACATGTAGGTACCTCATTCCTAGGCTATTGTGTTGTAATGCTGAGAACTCCTGGGAACGGTAACATTGAATTACAGATGGAGATCATTCATGATTCACATATTCATGATTCAGAAAAGTTGTACTGATGAGTTGTACGCTGTCAGAGCTGTACTGTCACGTGTCTATTACATTGTACAGATATATACAAGAAGATACAACAGTATATACAACTAACATCTGTTATTCTGCTGGCGCGTACTTGCTTGGTGCAACCTCCATCACCATTTGAAGCCATGTCGTCACTCGGTCTGAAACAAAGCGTATAGTCAGTGAATTGTGGATGGAATGTTACCTAGTGGATTCCTATACAGTGGTTTATTACAACAGGCATGGGTTACTGGGGATCTTTTATTCCCCAGACTCAAAGAGTGAAGTGACAGATTTGGGGTTAAAGCCACTGTGAACTTCAGTTATATCACGATGTAACACGATGTAACCCTTGAGCATGTGTATTGTGCATACAAACACCTTATAATAATTATTGTGGAATTTGAGATTTTATATGAGAGAATCATGGCCTGCCCAAAGGGAAGTAACTCTGCAAGGCAAATAGTGGCTTCTCAGATAATTGGGACAGTTAAACCCTAAAGCGGCAGGGTCTTATGAACTACTGTCTGCATCACAGTAATGGGTAAATTGTAATTGGGTCAGTGAGAGGCCAACCAAGGTAGTAGATAGGAATGAAATGTGTCCAGTATCAAACAACAGACCTTCTGCTCTCCTGGCAGACCGCGTCAGCTAAGCCACAGAAGCAGGTTGCCCAGTTAGTACTGACAATCACTGCACATTGATAAGGCAACATACCAAGTACAATTACTGCTGAATCTAATATTAATATTTCGTGCAGGCTTAAACTCGCATAATTTTTTAAAAGCTGGCCATCAATGACGATAATATTTCAGGAAACTTTTGTATAAACACATATAAATATACTGAAGGCATTCACTGTCACTTGCTAGCAGTACAAGTACGGTACAGCACTTATATATACAATCTTGCAAGACTGAATCATATTTTGAACAACTGATCCAATGGTGGTTATAGCCAAATGATGCACTCACCTAAACATGGGATTTTGAGTTTAAAGTGTACAAAGGGTACGTAGAAGACAAGCCCGCCAATGATGAACATGAAGGCGTAGAAGAACTCTATCCTGGGATTCTGTACTATCGGTGCTATCACCAGGTACACTGAGATGCACAATGTGATGATCGGGATAAATATAGGAACCTGCAACAGAGGAACATGGCATCAAGATCACAGGGATGTTGGGGAAGGAAGAGAAGGCTGAGGAGGAGGAGGCTGAATAGGAAGAATAACTGGTATGTGTGTGTGCGCGTGCATGTGCATGTGTGTGTCTTCCTTTTTTAGGAGTGGGTCATGGGGTGTGGTTGTGGAATCTTGTTCGAAGTCATTTTACCCTTTAAGAACTGAGTGTATTTGGAACCCACTGGTTGACTGTTTTTGATAAATTGCCTTAGCTGGGAACCAAAGCATTCATTGGTTTCTTTGCTAAAAAGTCAAATAGATATCTAGTGGAAAACATACTTGGCATTAAAGCGATGTATTGTTGTAATCCTGAGAATGACATCTGTAATGCAGCATGTGACTACTGGGTTGAGGCTGACAGTAATCAAGTCATACAGATTGCATGACAGTGTGAGAGACAACAAGGCTCATACTTTGTATGCCCAAAGAAAAACAATTAAATTTTCTCTCTTTTCCCTCCTGTTGACAGTAGCACCCCCAAGAAAGAAGTGAGGTATGCCTGCATAGGGTTCTGGTATGGAGATACTATTAGTAACTCAACTAGTTATGCATAGTCAACAGTGAAGAGTCGTCTCTTGAAAATGTTATCATGTAGTGACAGCATAAATGTAAGATTTCTTTTACTGATGTAATTGTGTCCATTGATTCCCAATAATTATATGATGTTTTGCTGTAAATATGAAATTTTGTTTTGTCATGAAGATACAGGAATCAATTTAAGCACTTAGAACTTGCACCTGAAACTGTGAAATGCAGCCTCATAGTTACTTAAAGTCTATGTTAGTAATTTGTTATTTAAAGAACTCAGCCAGGCAACAGAATTATAAGGAACTGGCTTGGAGACTCAGTGACAGTGACTGAACGTCTGTTACTGTTCATGTCATGAAAATTAGTCATGCATTATTTATATATATTATATTAAGCATCAGGTGCCTCCTGTTTTTCTCTGCTGCAACACAGTTACCCGAGTTTGAATCAAGTGCAAGTACAATATATTTCATTAAACCAAGTCTCATGTCAGTGCAGGAGGCTGACATGTTTACAGGTTCGTCGTTTTCTGGACAAGTAACTAGTTCAATGACAACATTAGCACCTAGACACTTACACGTTAAGACACACAGACTCATTGTGTCTTGTTAAAGCCTTACCTTATATGGTCGAGTTCTCTCTTTTTGCGTAAAGCGAAGAATAATTAGCGATGCCATTGTGGCTCCATAGAACAACCAGGCTGTAAAGCTGAAGAAGTCTATCAGGCTGAAGATATCACCAGGAATGATCATCACTATGGCGATGATCGTCTGCAATACAATCACACACAATATGAGACATTTGTTTATGAAAGACATGGTGGTTTCTTTGTTTCTCACTCTACAATATTCCAACTGTATGATGTTATTCTGTGAATGATCAACTGTGGACCAGAAAATCTGGTAATCAGTTTTGTGAGAGCAGATCAATGTCACACAACTAAAAGGTGAGATTTTCCAACCTTACACATGTGCATCAGATTCAGCAAGCAAGATACTATTACTTGCACAACTTATTGTGATATTACTTTCCGAACTTAATGTTTCTAAACACAAAGTAAGATACAAGGTCTTGTTATGTAAAACACAAGCATGGGTTGTAGTTACTTACATATGTAGTTTTATCATAGTTATTACATGTACCAGAACGGTACTTGACTATTTGAGTGGAAAGGTACACAGTACTCACTGTAAAGACTAGCGATGGTAGAGGTGTGTACTGTCTGATGTGCACATAGGAGAGGATCTCTGGTAGATGGCCCTCACGAGCAGCTGAGTACACCAATCTGCAACATAGATCCACAGTTAGTGCTCCTCACAATTGTCTTACATGTAAATACCTTACCACATTTACCTGGCTGGTCTACCTGTATCATTGTCTTACCTGTCTCTCTACCCAACCTCATTTACCTGCCTGGTCTACCTGTATCATTGTCTTACCTGTATCTCTCTATCCTACCTCATTTACCTGCCTGGTCTACCTGTATCATTGTCTTACCTGTATCTCTCTACCCTACATCATTTACCTGCCTGGCCTACCTGTATCATTGTCTTACCTGTATCTCTCAACCCAACCTCATCTACCTGCCTGGTCTACCTGTATCATTGTCTTACCTGTATCTCTCAACCCAACCTCATCTACCTGCCTGGCCTACCTGTATCATTGTCTTACTTGTATCTCTCTACCCTACCTCATCTACCTGCCTGGCCTACCTGTATCATTGTCTTACTTGTATCTCTCAACCCAACCTCATCTACCTGCCTCCCCTACCTGTATCATTGTCTTACCTGTATCTCTCTACCCAACCTCATTTACCTGCCTGGTCTACCTGTATCTTTGTCTTACCTGTGTCTCTCTACCCAACCTCATTTACCTGCCATTGGGCAACAAAAGCCACAAAGCATAATAAAGGGAGACAACTGTCAAAGAGTGAAACGTTTTCTCTATAAATGTTTACATGAAGAAAATATACACATATCCTGATACATTCATAACTTAAAGTACTGGTGGCATAATTGTGACAATACTGACTGAAATTCCATAATACCATAACATTTTCTGAACAAAATATAGTTAAGGAGATACTTTTCATGAAATTCTATGCTGTCTCTACTCCAAAACAATACAGTCATGATCCCTAGTTTTGTTCAGTATATTTGAAGCAATGAATTGAAGAACACAAAATCTGCACTGGCAGGTAGGGGAGACAACTCTATCCCATCTGTTCTTCAGAATGTACATTCAGTTCATGAAAATGGTGACATGTGCTCTTATAAATAATTCATAATAACTGCATCTTAATGCTGATGATGTCTATAGATCTTCTCCTCACTGTTCTTAAAGGGGGACTAGGCTGCATGACCTGTGGCCCATGTTAAATTAGATCCAGCTATATCCATCAGTTACCTCTGTGTTAATAGGGAAATCATAAACTATTAGACACATACACTATGAGTAAGCTGACATCGAACAATGTGGAGTTTGGATTTCAATCAAACACGGTTGGTCGGCTACTTAGTGCAAGCCTTGTCGATCTTTAACACAAATACAAAACTAACAGCTAAGTCTTTCTGAATAAAAATAATCATTGTTAATTTTCCTGAAAACAAGCAAGAATAGACTGTTCAGTCAGTTAAAATTTGATAAATAAGTTTTCCATCATCATATTGTATTACAAGACCTGAAAATTGAAATAGTACATACTGTCAAACACTGTTGTGTCAAAGTTAAAGGCACCAATAAAAAGACCACAAGATATTCTGTCCTCGACACAACCGAAAACAAGCATGAAGAAGGATTCTACCATGACTTCAGTAAATACTGGATTGTGATTGGTTAATTAAAGTCAGAGGTATATATATTGACAGGTATATAATCATATTTTATACCTCTGATTTTCAAACAAAGTATGTATTTTTTTAAAATCTTAATAACACGGTTATGGTAGGAATCAAATTTAGAGCTATTACAATTTTGTTAAATACCTCTGATTTTCTAACACAGTAGGTTTATGTCATAAATACCACACTGTTACTTCAAGACAACCATTCCACACAACAGTGTTAGACTATATGTCGTGGATTCCTGTTGGTCTTGACAACTTGTGCTCCTGTGGTAAAATATTGAAGATAAGTATCATCAGAAGCTGAAGCTGACATCACGATCCCAGTGGCCCATGGAAATCACTGGGGTTGTTCACAGTGTCATCAGTACAAAGGACTAAACAGGAGAGAATATCTGTATACAAATTACCATGTGTTCCTCTTGTTTTCTATATCATTTTATAACACAGCAGTGTCGTGATCTCTGACTCATGTGCAGGTCAACATCAATGTTAACAAATATGTTCAATTTCAATAGCTGTTTAATTTNAAGACACGAGGCCAGGAAACAGTCTCACCTTCCTCCAGTGAAACACGACCCATTTGCTGCCCCGAAGGTGGAACACGCAACAAATATAGGTATCAACACTGCCGCTGGGCCCAGCACTCTGCCACCCCAGGTCTGGAACAAACAAACAATACTATCTAAAACATACAATACTATCTAAAACAAACAATGCTATCCTCAACTTCTGCTTTTACTTCCTTGCTTTTACGCGCTTCTATAGACACCCAATATTTTCAACTCAAATTATCATATTGTACTTGATTCCTATTGTTGCACACATGTCAGTCATTGATTCACAGGGGAATGGAAGTATGAAAATATTTTATTATCATTCACGATATACTCCACAAGAAAGTAAGCTGCTTGAAAACAGCATGTGATAGATGTTGACATGGTCTAGCGTGACCTGCACATAATAATTATGTCACTGGCATATGATCATAATGTGATCTACACATAATAATTATGTCACTGGCACATGAGCTTGACATGATCTGCACAAAATAATGATGCCACTGGCACATGAGCTTAATGTGCTCTGCACATAATAATTATGTCACTGGCACCTGAACTTAATGTGATCTGCACATAATAATTATGCCACTGGCACATGAGCTTAATGTGCTCTGCACATAATAATTATGTCACTGGCACCTGAACTTAATGTGATCTGCATGTAATAATTATGCCACTGGCACATGAGCTTAATGTGATCTGCACATAATAATTATGTCACTGGCACATGAGCTTAATGATGATCTGCACATAATAATTATGTCACTGGCACATGAGCTTAACATGATCTGCACATAATAATTATGTCACTAATGTGACCTGCACATAATAATTATGTCACTGGCACATGAGCTTAATGTGATCTGCACATAATAATTATGTCACTGGAACATGAGCTTAATGTGCTCTGCACATAATAATTATGTCACTGGCACATGAGCTTAATGTGATCTGCACATAATAATTATGTCACTGGCACATGAGCTTAACATGATCTGCACATAATAATTATGTCACTGGCACATGAGCTTAATGTGATCTGCACATAATAATTATGTCACTGGCACATGAGCTTAACATGATCTGCACATAATAATTATGTCACTGGCACATGAGCTTAATAAGATCTGCACATGATTCTACATGATCCGCATGTCAATATATGTGCATTTGGGCACGAGAAATGGGCTTCCCACATTGTACCCATGTGGGGAATCGAAACCTGGGAGTTTGACATGAACAGTGAACGGTTTAACCACTAGGCTACTCCACCACCCCTGTGAAAGCTCTGAACATCAACAATATGACAGTGCACATACCGCTGCTACAGCGTCTGAGGCCAACAGTTCCTCCTTGGACATGATGCTGAGGTACGCCACGTTGGTCAGCAAGTAGCAGATTGTCACCAGGGGGATTCCGATGATGATAGAGCGTGGCAGGTTTCTGAAATACAAGGAACAGGTTTGAGTCATGTTGCTACAGCTGAAACCTGCTGATATATTATTTATCAGGTCCAGAACATAATCTGGTTTCTTGTTGTTTTCCACAGGATGCTCCACCTATATCACCAAGTCCACTAAACAGTTGACAAGGCAGGCCGGTATTAGATGGTACTAGCATGTCCCATACTATCATGGTATGATGACACATGATGACGTAAGTCATAAGACTATTTGATCCAGCTCTTATGAATGAGTGAGTTTGATTTTATGTCGCTTTTTGCAATATTCCAGTAATATCACATCGGGGGACACCAGAAATGGGCTTCACACATTTTACCTATGTGGGGAATCGAACCCAGGCCTTTGGCGCGACGAGCGAACGGTTTACCCACTAGGCTACCCCACCGCCCCTCAGCTCATGACATGCATACCATATATCACCGTAGATAAGCCGAATTTTGAGGACCAAAAAAAGAGGTTTGTAAATGGGGGTCGGCTTATCTATGGGTTACACTTTCGACAAACTTTTTTCAAGGGGTTAAAAAAACGACATTGTATCGCTTTGCGTGAAGAAACAAACAAGAGAAGATGACTTTGTCAGTAAAGATGTCAAACTTGCAATTAAACATCACTAGACAAGATTATTTACCTTTTCAGTTCTAATTTGTTTTTGTTGGGCATTGTTTGCAGGGATTAAGATTACCGTGTGTATTTGTCTCATATATAGAGCCGGAAATAGCAATCAGCTGTGCACACGTGTCCCGGCGAAAAACGCACCCTCATGAACATGGTAGGCGAAAGTTGTTCGCACATGGAATGGGGTAAAATAAGCAAATCAGTTTGTTGACATGTGATCGTCCAGCTACAATAAGTATGATATTTAACGAAACAAAATATAGTATCCATTTTCTGTCAACGATACTTCATTTCGAGACGTGAGTAGACACAATATGATTGTGAATTCTTTGATTAATGCAGACGGAAGTTATAATTATCGGTAACTGCCAGTTGTCTGAGTTTGCTGCGATTAGGACCTCATCGCAGGGGCTTGCCTTATGTACAAAACATACCATTTTGACACTGATTTTAAGAGTCAAGTTAGGGGGTTGACTTATCTATGGGGTCGGCTTATCTACGGTAATATACGGTAGGTTACTGGGACCTTCAAGGGAATAGTACAAGATTGGGGACAAATTGCTTCAAGTGTGATGTGTACTCACACATTAGGGTTGATGAGCTCCTCAGTGATGTAATTCAAGTTGTTCCTGAAACCATAAACATCATACCTTATACATATGTACCAGACACATACTTATAGCAACACTGTCCATGTACACCTTTTACCGTGACATAAAAGGTACACCTTTGACAATACAATAATTTTCAAATCTTGAGATTATTGAAATTTTTTTATACAATACCTCTGTGTTTCAGAATACATAATATAACAGTACATAATATTTCAGGTGTATCATGACAACCTGTAAACATGCAAGCCTGGCCCAGACACTTTGTATGCAAGTTTACTTGGAATTAATGCTGACCCAGAATTAATTGAGGGTACTCATATGAGAGGGTAGTGTTAGAACACAATCTCTAGCTCAGTACAACACCAGCTGATCCTCCACACCCACTGTGTGACCACAGACACTCACCATCCATCATAGGCCCAGAGGCCATCATAAAACGCCAGCGTTATCAGTGATGGAGACTTGACTGTGTCCTCAAACCCCTCTGAGAGAAACTCAGTGTTTCCTGAAATCAAACACCAAAGTTATTACCATGGAAACTTGTATTACGCATGTACATGCAATCACATGTCAAACTGGGTCTGTGGCCCAAACTTCTGAATCTTCTACCTCAAATATGTCAGTATTTATCAGATTTTAGGTACTGGCTATTATAGAAATTTGTTCATAAGCCACAGACTTTAGGTTAGTGGATGTACATTTGTGTAACAATGCAAAACATCATTTAGTTTTGGGTTATTCTATTGATATTTAACTTTCTTTCATGTATAAGTAATATTTTCAATTTTTGAAAAATAATAATCCTACTTTCAGTTCACTAGAAATTGAAATATTCTTCTTTGTTCACTTACTACTTACTAACTTACTACTTTTACTCGCCCATAAGATTCTGAAGTACTTGTAACCAAGTGGTGGGGAAGAGAAGGTTTGGTAGCCTTTTGGTATGAGGGGTTGAGAAATGATGATCTGGTCTAGGGTTGTAAGAGGGGATAGGGTCAAACTGTTAGCGTGACCGGGTTGGACAGTAGAGGATATGGACAGTTGACCACAGGGGGATATGGTCAAGTTGTGATAGCTGTGTTGTCACACCCAAAGCACTTTCATCACCTCTTACAACAACAATGCTGTCTTTTAAACATTGCTACATATATTACCTGCATCTATACAGGACAAAGACCAAATACTGATATGTGGACTCTGTATGGAAACTATTCATAAACTGAGACTGTAGATACTGATAAACAGTGAGTGAGTGAGTTAATTTTTAAAGTTACATCGGCAGTATTTCAGCCATATCGTGAATATATCAAATTATAGGTTCATAATAATTAAAGATAAATTATGAAAACCTGTCAATGTAAAACAACTAGTAAAACAACTAGAAACTAAATTTAAAACATTTTAACAATAGATGACAAGGCAATATAAAAACAGGCTGTAGATTGGCAACAACTGAATGTAGATCACCATACTAGAGACCATGGGGACTTACAGTACATTAGCTTCCTGCATGGACCCTCGCTGGATTTACACAATCCCTTCAGATGCTAGCAATTGTTGACAAATCTAGTCATACATTAAAAGGTCACATTTCTATGATTATAAAGAGGGCAAGTTTAAATTTACTTTGAATGTTTTGGGACTTGGGTACCATCTCAGGGGGGACTGATTAACAAACACATCAACCAGTGAAACCAGACAAGTTTAGTCCGTCCTGTTAGTAAGCATACCTTGTGTTAGAAAGTGCAGCAGGTTTCCAAGCAATATGTTCCTAACCAACCTGACACAATGTACACCCCATACCATGACAACAATGTCCGCAGCATCATCAGTGTGGACAATATCTGCATCAAGCAGCGAGGTCACTCTTCCCCACACACACGACCACTATGTAATATCAAACTGTATAATTAGTTGTCTGAAGACAGTTTACAAATGCATGATGTTTGTTGTCCTGTGCGGTGCTGTGTTACATTTGACATGTGAATGTGAAACACAAGAACTGATGTTATCTGTGAAAAAAACATATATAAGATGTGATCATGATATGCCTCGTATCTCCATGCCAGCTGCCACTGCAACAAAGCTGGTGATGAGTATATGTAACTGTCAACACTCCTTTATCTGCACAAGATCTTTCACCATTTGACGGCTCTACAGGTATACAATGAAAACTATCATGACTTCAAGTACTATCGGAAATAGAAAAAGGCTGTTACTCTGTATCCCTAAAATTTACAAAATGGCCAATAGCATATGGCGAAATAACCCACATCGGCCTAACTGGGCGTTCAGTGGAATGCGCAATAGGATATCCAGAAAAGCATGTGTACTCGTAAAATTGGGCAAAACTTCGAAAAAATACCAATAACTGCTGAAAACAATACATCAGACTATAGATGGCAATTAGGTCGCTCAGACAGGTATGATGACGGACCGTCGACTCACCTGGCATGAAATGCATGTGCTGCCTATAGGCACAAGGGGTAATCTCAAAGATATTTTATGCTTTCTCATGTGTGTTGAATATGTCTCATCTATTGATTGACATCTTACGTGTCTTTCTTTCACAAAGTTTATGTGGAGATATGTAAAAGAGTATGATACCCATAGAAAAGCTTAAATCAGTCTTCATATTAAATGTCTCAAAATATATAGGTGGCATGACCACCCAATGATCGACAGGACTGGAAAGTATTTGTAAATTGTTATGACATGCCGTCTGCTTTCCCAATCTATTTCTCCTAAAGGATTATCTTATCTCAGCTGATATCTCTATCACCCAGCCCGACCCCAACCACCGTCTGTGACACCCGTCCTGACACACCGTTTGAGATGACCCCTCCAACCTGTTTCTTTTATAGTGATAGTGAGACTCCATGGTAGCTACATCCTTAATAGTTTCAGTATTAAAGTTATTATTGTTTACGTCATCTATTGTTTATAATAAAGATAAGTTTATTTTTGAAATGGGCATTTAAAAAGTGTCCTTTGCAATACAGTCTCATCGCACAATAATTTGCATAAAGTCATGGTCTGTTCCAAATAAGTCGCTTTGGACTTAGAAAAAACTGCATTGCTTATTTCTGCACTAATCTCTCTTCAGTAAAGTCCTTTTTCTACGTTTCCTATCTCCCTACCACAGAGACTGTAGTTAGGCCGAACTTATTACTTTAGTTTTCCTTGTACACCTGAAGAATTGTACAGAGAATTGAAGGGGCGGAGGGGTAGCCTTGTGGTTCGCTTATCACGCCGAAGACCCGGGTTCGATTCCCCGCATAGGCACAATGTGTGAAGCCCATTTCTGGTGTCCCCCACCGTGATATTGCTGGAATAATGCTAAAAGCAGCGTAAACTGAAACTCACTCACTCACAGATTTGAACGCAAGTCTTCGGTATGCGAACGTCTTAATCACTTGGTTACCCCTCCGCCCTTCCTACTGGATGAAGCTGGGCTATGTTATCTGTGAAGTGATTGAGTTAACACCTAGCACCCATCAGTGATATTTTGTAAGAAGTAAAAATAAATAGACTGTAAAGGAATACAAAGTGAATGCACCGACACCTTAAAATGCCATGTGAGACATTATCAGGAAATGTGAAACAAAGACAGTTGTGAAGCTAAGTGAAACTCAAAACTGGAACCTGAAGATTAAGATTTACGTTAGGAGCTGTGGTCACGCAAAAACCCGACTGTACAAATGATAGCAAGCAAAACTGGAAACAGGCAGAAAGGCAGATAAGGAGGACTTGAAGCATCAGTCAAACAGCATGGACACATCTGTGGCTGCTCCTTTTTCAGAAATATGAGCTCACTTGACCTCAATATGCAATAGATTTTTGACATTTGATCAACATTTATTCTTCTCAGAATTAATAGTTCCAGGTAATGTTTCCTCAAATCCTCCAGAACTAGAAATGTTATGACACAAACACCTGGCAACACCAATAAGTCCAACATCGGCACACATCATGACAGGCAGAATATAGACATACCTTTAGACATCTTGTAGAACCCTCCAACTATGATCATAACCAGAGCCAGCAGCTTGGCGAACGTGAAGAAATTCTGGACCTTCGTAGCCCACTCCACACTGTAGCAGTTGATGAAGGACACTACCACTGAAAGAATTACATCAAACAACTCAGCAAGTCTTGAGAAGGCATTTATTAAATAGAAACATCATAAAGACATGAAATAATGTATAACTGAATCAGAGGTCTTACTAGACAAATGTTGGCCTGTATGTGTACAGTAAGTGATCAGATTTTATGAGCTTTATGGCCTATGAAAGAAATCAAAGATCTGTGACACCTCTGAAAGAGGGATTGTGTTTCACATATATAATGTAATGAAATGTCTCTGTGAAAACTAGGACAATCATTAACTATTAAATTTAGAAAGCAGTCATGTCCAGTATCCCTTTTGACACTGCACAAAGTTCTATGTCCTCTGCAGAAACAACTAAATGGAAATGGTGGTCAGTTTGCCGGACTTGATAAATGCAATGTCATTGTATCCTAATTGCTTATACGCAATGTTCATGATGTCAATCACTGGATTGTCTTTCAATATTTAGTCAGCCTTCAGTTAGAGTTTATGGAATAATGCTGAGTGTGTACTACTAATAATAAGGTCACTTGTGTAGCGCTGAACTCCACGCCCCACAGGCATGCTTTAAGGGTAAATAACATATTGGACATTATTACCCCGGATAACCCATGCTGCCTGTGAGGTGCTAGAAGGTTAATAGTCATGTGATTTATCCCACCGGGTACCCATTTTCTGCTGAGTGAACAGAGACAATTTTGAACAAACAAACAGCGTACAACTCTACTCACTCATACACAAGATGGAGATGAGCTTCACAAGGTATCCTGGTGGACTGCAACCATCAAAGAACGGCTCCGCTACGTAGATGCCAAAACTAAGGGCCACAACTCCAAACAGTGCTGGTTTCAGGATGAGGATGGACACCCAGGCAAACAGGAAGCCGGGGATGGGAGCCAGCCACTTGGGCATAATTGAGTGGGAGGCCTCCAGGATGTAGGCATACTCCGATCCGGACTTGGTGATCATTGTACCGAGCTCGGCGTAAGTCAGGGCTCCTGTTCCGCAGAAACAGACAGACTTTGTAGGGCGGCGTTAGCAACAACATGGAGGTTAGGGTTTGAGTCAAGCTTTCATTCACTCTCAACTCACATACTCTCTAACCGGAAGGGTGGGGTGGGTGGGTCTTAGGGTTTGGGAGGGCAGGATTTCTGTAGTGAAGACAGCAGCAGACTTGTGCTAGACATTAAGAACCTCATTTGTGCTTCAAATGGATACTTATGGTAACCATGGCAATTGAGAAAGTAACCTTGTTTATTACGCTGCTGTTGGGTTGTTACCATGGTGACATTAATTAATGCAGTTTCATGAGAGTACTATCAGTTCCAAATAAACATAACCAAAAAACATAATTTTGACTAAAAAAGTAAAAATTGTTTTCCATACACTTTTTGGTTCATAAGCATTTAATTTGAAGCACACATGAAAGTTCACTGACAAACAAATTGTGGAATGTTCTTACTGAAAGGAGATCAAAACGCTATTATTTCGGCTACCTACGAAAAAACAAAAATCATTATTGGATATCTGGAAAAAAAGAAAGCCAAGAATTAATGAAATGCTGAAAGAAGAAAACTGATAATTAATAACAGGCCCAGCTTAGTTGTGATACATGAGATTATAGTTGAAAATGAGACCAATCAGTAAACGCATTCAATTCTAAAATCGCCTAACCATTGTATATAGGGTAGAACCTTAAATGCACTTATCATATACCAAATGAATATATATATATATACACTAGAGTGCCATGAAGCAGGGGTAGCAGCTATACACTCATACCATCACACATTCAGTATCTATAGTTACAAGAAAATATAGCATTTGTAGATATGAAGTAAAACATGTTACATTCAACTTTCGTTACATTTGTCAATGATATATATAAGAGTCCAATTTATTCACAATTAAATCTGATTTACCACAGATGTTATTTCATTGACCTGTACAAAACTTCGTCTACTCTAGAATAGTAATTACAAATTCTTATAAACAAGACAGGAAGTTAGAGAAGATTTTGATTACTTGTACTTGGGATGAATGCTTCACTTTTCATAACAACAACACAGCCTTCAGCTCCCACCCAAGGCATGCAGCAATGGTAATAAGGTGTATGTGACTGTCTGTCTCACTGCTGGTGTGTATGTCCTACAGATTAAGGCTACATGTTTGCAGGGTTGAATAGTCATCTCACTGTATAACTAAATGTATGGCTGTGTGATTAATCAAAGACTGTCTTACTGTATGATTAAGCCTGTAAGGCTGTCTGACTATGGTTACAATAGACTTTTTTCCCTATTGATTGTTGCTTAACACTGCACTCAGCAATATTCTAGCTATATGGCGGTGGACTGTAAACTAGTCTGAACCAGACAATCCAGTGATCAACAGCATGAGCATCGATCTGTGCAACTGGTATATGATGACATGTGTCAACCAAGTCAGTGAGCCTGACTACCCGATCCCATTTGTCGCCTCTTATGACAAGCATTGGTTACTAAAGACCAATTCTAACCCGGATTGTCACGGGTCGATAGACTTGGTGTATTGCTGACTGTGCTTGACGGTATGCATGACTGACTTTGACTTTAGTCCTGATTATGAATGACTGTTTTACAGTATGGAAGCCTGACTACATATGTGACAGTCTGTCTACAACTGACTTTGTTTATGATTGTGATATCACTGTCATATTGAGATGCTGTCTTGGGTGATGAGACTGAAGCCCTGGGAATTTACTGAACTGTAAGATGACACTGTAGCCAACAAGCTGGTCTGTGACTGACTTAACATTGTATATCACTCTATTCACGTCACCATGTAAATAAACTCAGCATGGTAAGAATTATCTCCCCTTTATCTGCATCCCAGTTGAAATTTCAAATTGAACAGTTCCATGTGGTTGATTTCTTTCAGGTCTATTTCTTGTAACCATAACAATACCTATAATTATAAAAAATAATCAATAACATTCTTTTCTGAACAAATGAGAATTGTAAAGAGTTTGAAAACAAGATGGTTAGAGACTTTTTGGATATTCAGACATTATTGCAAAAGCGAAAAGACACAGGATTAGGTATATAATCTAGACTGATATAGCATTTGTGTTGCTGATAAAAACAGTTTGGTCTATAGTCTTATATTTTCAAATATTTTTGCTGTTGTAAAGTATCCAACATAAATAAATTGGGGCAAAATATTACAGTGTAACACATAAATGACATTCACTCTTTGCTCACATTAACACATGAACAGATTGAAGTCTAATTTACTCTAATAATTCATACCGGTTTGTTAGCTAATTTAATACAAGTACTATTAGAGAGATGGGAGCACAAAAGAGTTTCAATTTCAATGTAGTTTTCACAACAGGAACACTGTTTGCTTCCAAGGCTTATTTATTATGTCAAAGTTTAAGATCACCTTTGAATATGCTCTTCAGATGATCAATTATTGTTGATTTCAGTGATCTTAATATGAATAAACCATGCTTAGTTGATAATCATGGTGAAATCAGTTTTAGAAAACAGCGATTAATCTGAACAATATTAAAAATATGTAGTTCAAATCTTCAATTGGTATTATGATAATGAAGAATCTACTATGGACAAAGTAAACCTTTTCTAGAAAAGCATTATTGGTGATTATCGATCTGAATTAATGGTAAGATTATTTCAAAAGTAACATTGTGTTCTTAGGATAAGGAATTAAACACTGTACTGCAAACCTTGTAAATATCCAATATTGATGTCCTCAGAAGGTATCTTAAATTTCAAATGTTGATCATGAGATGATCTGTCAATAATTCACTCTGACACTGTGATAAAAACACCTACAACGTCAAAATCCAAACAAACTAAACTAAAATTCCAGAAAATAGCTCTTTGATTAACATCTCATAATCAATATTTTATTTCATAACATCAAATTTTATCTCTTATAATTGGAGTGAAGCAACTAAAAATAGTTTTAGGCACACAACTGAATGACTTAACTTGGCAATAATTAAGTATTCTGTTTAATTATTTCAGAATGTTTCATATCACTTGTTCTGAAAGGCATTCACGGAGTATCATACACGTTGGTAAGATAAACATAATAAAGACAAACAGTTTTTTTAAATTTTGGATTTAGAAATTTAAGCCAAAACTGCAGGGGGAGATAACCCTTGGTGAAGTTGGTAGCAACATGATCTCCACCAGAAAATTTGTAACACCAGGTCAAAAGTAAAGATGATGTTTTGTTACAAATTTGAAAGATGTTTTCTTTGAAATGTCAAACTCAAAACAGAAGAGACATCCAGAGCTGAATTTTCATATAAGAGTTTATAGAATGCTAACGTGAATAGTATCGTGTTTCAAATACTCACGAAGATAGAGTGGAACTGACACTTAGCGTGAAAGTCTCAAATCACTGGTTGGAAATGACACATGGAGTGCAACTGTAGTAGAAGGGTGCTATTCGGATGAGCTATTCGGATACCAGGGGACCTTCGGTCAACCCTGCTTCGCAATTTGCTGGCAGGCTTTGTCAAATTTAGATTGTCAAAGTTGTTTAGTCAAATATAGGACTGGGCGTGTACTTACATATGGCTGCAGCAGCCAGTAACTTTTTTATAATGTCGGGAGGTCCACAGGCATCGAATAATGGCTCAGATAGATATTCGGCTAAACCCAGACTGATGATAGCCACTGAACTGGGGATTTGTGACTAACACGGCAGCCCAGGCACATAGATATGCTGGTATTGGCCCGAAGGCGGCCGCAAGGTAGGCATATTCGCCTCCTGACTTTGTAAAAAGAGTCCCTAGCTTGGCACAGGCCAGAGAACCTGTGAGGTAAAAGAGAAAAACAACAATGTTGAATTGGGAAGGGGAGTAACTCCCACATCCCTCTCATAATCAGTTGTCTCCCCTGTTTCTGAAAAGTATTGTTGAATTAAACACATAGTGAATATAATAAATCAAGTGCTACTTCATTGAAACAAAGTTTTGCAATTGTCAATTCATTTCGTTTCTTTAACATGAAAACAGAAACTGCATACATTCAAATAAGAATTCATTGAACATGAACTAGAATTTTATCAAAGAATTTAACTTTCAGATGTTTGATAAATATTGATGGCATCCATTTACTATGATAAAGATGAAGCTTTTACTTTAACTGAATCCCTTAAGAACAACATCAACAATAACAGAACATTTAAATAATACAGAAAATAACAGGGCTCAAAATAAAACTAAGAGAAAAAGAAGTCCTTGTGTCTTTTGAAAATCTGTGTAACTGCTTTTTGTAGCCATTAGCTTTATCTTACCAACAATGAAAATACAGACATGAAATATTCATATGTTTGTGTTCTATTGTGAGCCCTTTATAAACAAGTCAGCTCTCTGCAGTGTGGTTTGTTGCCCCGTCAGTCGGACTGATCGGTCTGGGTCCTAGTTTCTGATGTCCTCAGATCTCAGGTAGGCCGACCAGCCGCCAGACTGCCATCACATGCAGTAGAGTGCACTGGACTGAGAGTTGTCTCCCTTACCACACAGCGAGATGAGGCCACATCCGCCCCACACCATCAAACTCAATCCCACGGAGCCTGTGCCATGTAATACTCCCTTTGGTGATATAAATATACCAGACCCTGAAAAATTCAAACATCAAAACCATTCCATTATCATTTCAAAGAAGCGTACAGTCATGCAAACCATCAACTATATTCTAGTATATGAACAAAAGAAATCATAAATTTCTACATTAAAATTTGATTACAAAATTAAGGCACTTTAAACAAAACTCAATTTCAAATTTTCATATATAAAATATATATAAATTTTGTTATTATTCATTACTGTTTTCAGATAAAGAAGTTGTTCTTCATATTTTGGGGGAAATATGCTGAACAACGTATTGAAGCCTGACTGCCATTCTGGAGCTACATCTAACAGATGGCAGTAATAGTAACATATACTCATAAATATATCATGGAATTATAATAATGTTTGAAAAACCAATGATTTACTTCTCCAAACTTTGACATGTTGTTGAAACTGTTGTTGCCTGTAAAACAAGATAAATCAGGTAACTCTGCAATGATATAGCTGTAACACTACTGACTGCAGTACTCATTCATTAAAGGCACTACATCACACCACACTTCTCTAAAAATAAATAATGCATTCCCTCAATAATACTAACTATCAGCCCTCAGGGAAGCTACGTATTTAGATTACAATATCAAATTAAAAATTTCGAATGAATTAAAGCAATGTTGCATTAAATAGACCCTAGTGCCCTCTAATGGATGAACATTATTTCAAGCAAACCCCATAGATTTATGTCCCTTTGAGTGTTCTTTATGAATATCCTAACCAGTTCGGCAAACACTGACAACACCGCGTGTGACAGTTTTCGATGTACGGAGGAATTGTTTACATTCCATATATGGCAAGTGTTTCTCTTTGGAAGCTGTTCGCCTCAAAGTTTTAATTATTGATTTCAGGCAAGTAGTAAGGGATAATACGTCTTTTATTGCATCAATAGGAAGCTAAAGTGAGTGCATATGCCCCAATATATATAATGTAGTCCAAAATATTGTCAAAAATGTGTGACATTGTGCCTTTAAGAAGACCAGGGTCCTGATCCACAAAGCGTTCATAGCACTATGACCTATCACAGGGCTCCAGATAAGGGCAGTATCGGCGTATGTACGGATACAAAATATGCACGATACGATAGGAAATAATTTTGAAAACGTAGCAGATACGCACCACAGCAATGGTGTACGATTCATTTACAGACGTATTTATATGAAAAAGTATTGTTTTATTGTTTATTGACCTGTTTACACAAGAGAAGCAATGTTGTCGTGCATATACCAAACGAAACACAAGAATACTGATTACTAATTTCCATTCAGTACTCTTAATGTACTCTTTAAGTTTTTCCAGTACTTCTATATTGAAAAAATAAAGAGTACGTAGTCCTGATGTTGAAAAATTATCTGGAGCCCTGCTATCATAACTATAATACTTTATCATAGGCTTACGAATGACATGGTTCTAAGAAAGCTTTGTGGATAGGGCCCAAGCTTGTACATATCTTCAGATTTCAAATTTGTAAATTGTAACAAAAACATGTGAATCTAAATAAACATGTCAGCCTCAAACTTTAAGCCTTTTCATTTATCCTTTATGTCTTACAGAGACTGATACCTGACAACCTGCCAGATCTGAAAAACGACTTTTCATATTGTTCAAAAGCTGTCTAGGTCGGACCTTTCACAATACATAACACTATAGAGGAAATATGCACCTAAGTTTGACACAGACGTCAAACAAGGACAACAGGCCTAGGTGAATATCCCAACCAATCGTACACACAATGTTATCAATTTCATTGTAACAGTAGAGTCATTCAGTAATAGATACTTGTACTGTAGTGCTATAACCCTGATAGCTTATGTACAGAGAGTTGAAAATAACTTTGAAACAGTAGTCCATGCAGTGCACGATACTGATGGCTGGCTGGCTGAATTTAGCTTTACACCGCTTTTAGCAATATTCCAGCAATATTACAGCAGGGGCACCAGAAATGGGCTTCACAAATTGTACCCATGTGGGGAATCAAACCCGGGTCTTCGGCGTGACGAGCAAACGCTTTAACCACTAGGCCACCCCGCCGCCCCACGATACTGACGGACATTTTGAGTTCTGCTGCAGTGTTATATCCTTGGAATCTCTCATTCTTGAAGTTGTAACTGGGTCAAAACAAGGAACCCTCGACATTAACATTTAGTTTTCTAACAACACAAACTGTTGTGACAATATCCTCATAAGTGTAGAGCCTGATTAGTGGCCCTCAGATTCATATACTAGAAATCAAATACTTGAGTGATCAGATTTCTCTTTCTCTCCAGTAGTGGTTGGCCTTAAAATGACTGTAATTAGTCACTAAACTAGAACTCAATCGCATAAAGTAAATCCTTTTCCTTTCCTCCAAGTATCTACTGTCAGCTGTTAAGATTCTACAGACCATGCGAGAGGTGTTTAACACTGCACTGAGCAAAATTCCAGTTATATGATGACCAGTAAATTTGTCCTACACAATATTGTGAGCATTGATCCATGCCATTGGGGTGTGATAAAATTCTATAAACAGTCAACCCCTCTTACACAACTGGTTGGCTGTTTCAACCAACATAGGTTACCAACGCTGAAGCCTAAAGCAGTATTCCTAAGCTCTTTGTGGTTTCCCAAGCTCTTTTTGTTTTTGATACACCATACAGTTTGTAATATCACACAGAATTTTCATCAAGTGACTCAAGTTTATAACAGTTGGCAATTTTAAACTGACTGACTGACTGAGTTTGGTTTTACGCCGCTTTTAGCAATATTCCAGCAACATCATGGCGGGGGACACCAGAAATGGGCTTCACACATTGTGCCCATGTGGGGATTCGAACCCGGGTCTTCGGCGTGACGAGCCAACGCTTTAACCATTATACTACCCCACCGCCCCTGGCAATTTAAAAAAAAAAAAAAAAAAAAAATAGAAGAAGGAAAGACAGTGTTAGGTGATGAATACTAATGTTTGTTACAGTTAAGAAGTTTTATTTAGACCTGATCAGATGTAAACACGGAATGACCAATTTTCCAATTCATGTCATATTTAAACCTTATAGCAATATAATGTTATATATTTCACTGATGAAAAAACATAGACAATTGAGGTGGCTGAAATATTTAGTTTGACAATATTACATCTTCACCTTGGATTCTAAAAATAAACAAGAACAGAATGAAAACACCCCCAAAAATAAAGCTAACAACCCACCCCCTAAACCCAACAATCTGAACAAATTTTCCCTATCTTATTGCAGAGGAAACTTGATCTGGAATCCAGGTAATTCCCTGTAAAGGTTACACTATTGGTAGTAAGTAAATATTACTTAACGCCGCATCAGCAATGTTGTAGCTATTCACTGTGATTATACCATTGGACTTGCACCCTAATTACAGAGGAGTGTCTAAATAGCCATATGATATATAGCTTTATCAGGTATTTGTCAGGCTTCCTTGTGGTGGGTCTGGGAGAGAAAGCTAACGACCAGTAGGGTATGAGAGGCAAGTAAATAGTGTGTTGCAGCAATTGGCTGTATTAACCATCAGACAGATGTTGCCTGTTTACTACAGTCTGGCTCTCACAACTAATTACACTACCATGATTTACTGCTCATTTAATTATTTACTTATGTTATAGAGACTGTTAAACTATGTGTAACACTTTACATTAAAGTCATAAAGAAAAGAAAATGAAGTCATCGATATAGCCCACCTATTTAAATATTCTTAGCCATGAAGATCAGATTAGAACTGTTATTAAGCAAACTATATTTTTGTTAAGATTCGACTAACAGGCTCTGGTGGTTATACACGCTGACTGTTGATGCATGTCATCATGTCCTATTTGCCTAGATTGATCGTCATGACGTCAACCACTGGGTTGTCTGTCCCTAATTTGATTATCTACAACCACCATCATACAGCTGAAATATTGCTGACTTCAGCATCAAACACAAAACAAACATGTTTAGAATCATAAAATAATGTGTAATTATGTCTGACTATATCAATCAAAATGTTGGTTACATCCGGATGAACTGTCCAGGATATGACACCATTAGATTCTCGTCTTTTTTATGCTTTATCAAACATCCTGCATGAATTAAGTATCATACTTTTTATAAAAAACCCAGAACTTTTCTGCTCCAGAAACAAACACTACCCTCAAATTAAACTAAGTCACATCAAGCTGACAAATCTGCAAACATTTAATGAGAAATAATGAAAGGATTATGCGTTGGGCACAAGAAACGAACCCTGTCCTAATCTCAACATAAGATTTATACCAATGGGATACTGTCACAACTATTTGCAGTGCTAGAAATTAGTAATCAGAATTACGCGTCCTATGTTAAATGTGACATGTTTAGGGCTATGATTAAAAGTACTCTAGCAACAGCAAATAACCTTGAGATATTTATCAGTTTTATCTCAGTATTGCCACACATACAGGTAACCAAGTACATCATGAATCATAGCCAGTAGCACTGAGAGAAAATGGCACCTGGTCTTAAAAGATAAATACCAGTTAAAAGAAGTTTAAAAACACTGTGACAGATTAACAGTACTAATATCACAGAAGCAGACGTTCTTTAACATATATGAATGGTATGCATATTTCTGGAACTTGAATTATAACACATATAAGCCATGTCAAAGTTTAGGATTAAGTTAATGCAAAGATATTCCAAACAGTTTTATGCCTTGAAAACTGCATGTTCCTTGGTTCTTGGAAAATAATCTGTTAACAAAGACAAACATAAGTACCATATACACTTGCCTCAATGATTCACTAATGATATTGAAAACAATATATTATATAAGAATAGTTGTAACATCCTTTCTACTTAAAGAGGTATAATTGATGTAAGCCACTGTTTCCAGTGTGACATTTACAATGAGATGACAATAATTTGGGACCAGAATCTCTATGCACTCCTCAGTATGTGAGTTGACCAAGGGATGCCACTACTTGTCATCTTGTTGACCTTACCAATCATTGTTCCAACAATTAGCGCAGTCCCGCTGACGAGACCGACTCGCTTCTTCAGGGACACCGTACTCTCCTCCACGACAACGGAGCCATTGCAGTCGCTGTCCTTTGGCACCCCGCGATACCTCGCATCTGATGATTTACCGTTCGACATCTTGTGTTGAGGAACTGGAAAGAAACAATTAAAATTTAATTCTCAAATAAAATATTTCACGTTCATGAAACAATCGGAACAATGCTTCACTTTGTTGATTCATAATTTACTGAATGATTGACTGTACAAAAAAATTGCTGTACATGGCAGAAAAGCTGCTCATTAAGGATAAAACATAAAAATACTGCATACACATAGTTCATGTTTTAACGCCTAGTCTGAAAAGCTGCTCATTCAGGATAAAACATAAAAATACTGCATACACATAGTTCATGTTTTAACGCCTAGTCTGAAGCCCAAGCCTTGTAAATTCTGTCCGGACAAGTGTGCTCAGCTCATAACAACATGTATACTCAGATAACGCTAACATCTGAGGAAAAGATGTCGAGTGTGATGTTCGGGCTCAACTCAAAAGATTGTGACTCCACTCATCATGTAGGCACTCAACAAAATTTAATCTGTTTTATGGTTTGGATGAAAAACTCACGTTAGTTATATTGCAGACTAAATATCAAGACCTATCTGAAGAAGTCACCTCCATACCATGTAGGGTAGTGTCGTCTGACATTGTGTACATACATGCATGTAACCTTGGATAACCCTGACATCCCTCAGTGTCCTGGACGCCATGACATGCAATACAATGACAACACTGCAGCTGTGTACGTCATCTACCGCAGACACTTATCGGGCTGTATGAGCGGTTCTCTTGATTAAACAACCCCAGACCAACCATCCCATATGTACTGCTGCTCTGAGCAGTAGTTTTGTCATATCAGGGCATAAAACTTTCAAATGGGAGGCATGTGATGCAGGTCTTAGACTTTTATCGCTTTGGCGTGCATTAATATGATGCTGACAGACCTAGAGACATACTCATGACAAACTGTACTTTGAACCCTGAATCACAGGTTACTGTCATGCCTAAGGGAAGTAACTCCAGATAATGAACTGGACCACTTGTGCAACCTTTTCCTAATCAGCCTCAAACAAAAGTCTAACGTTGTTCAAAGGATATACTATTGTCCAAAATGTGGAAGAATCACTGGTTACTGCTTTTGTTGAGTACAGTGAATCATTTATTCAAAATTTTACTTGATATACTGGGAACATAAATATTCTTGTGCCATAAGAATCCTCATTGAGGATCAAACAGTGCTATTTGGTTTGCCCAGACTGTGGATGACACAACATATACTGCTCAAAAGAAGTTAAAAGTCAAACAACTCTTTTAGACTTCTATAGTTTATGTGTCACGCTGGATTGTTTCGTATTACTATAGTTATATAAATCTGTCATCACTGATTGTTTAATACTACTGTGGTTGTTCTGTCATAACCATTTCTTTCACGTCATGTCAAATTAACTATATTAACATGAAAGCCACAAGTGTTCTTTAACGTCTTGAGATTATATATTTAATATCTTAAAGCTCATTAAACTGAATGAGTAAATTAGAACTGAACATCACATTGGCTAGATTTCATTCATTAGCCAAGACCGCGTCATACCAAAAGACGTTAAAATATGGTACTTGTTGGTCCCTGCCTGGCGCTCGGCATTAATGGGTAAAACAAGGACTGGTCGGCTCGGAGTCAGTATAATGTGTCTGAGTGGGGTATTCATGCTTCACTGCGGCATGGTGTCTCAGTGGGCTAGCACTATAAAACCAGCTTAAGTCTGGGCTAGTACAACAAGACGCACATACACATACACATCGTCATATGAGCGAAATATTCTCAAGCACGATGTTAAACCCAATTTCACCTCATCCCACCTCATTCATTAGCAACTCTAGCTAAAGATGCTTCACTGTACATTATCCCTGGGATCCGTTCCCCAAAGTTATTGTAGTGATGAGATGATCGTAACTCACACTTTAACCTAGACTTACAACTATGGTAGCCTATGATCTGTCTGTGGAATGGGGCCCTGGCCACCACATGATCACTTCCTCTCAGGTGATTAGCTTAAAGCTTCATTCAAACCCACTTACATGGCCCCAGAGAGCAAATATTCCCACTCTATAATTGCTTTCATATGGTTTCCCCTTTCAACCCGACAGGCACTGGTAAAACATTTCCGTATTTTTACTATGATATCTGTCAGCATACTTCTGACAAATAAACTGTGTAACAACCCTGGCAAACTAATAGTAATCCACCATGAATGTTGGCATCCAGGGGAAAAAAACAACCTGCAAAAATAGCAAGGAACAATAATGCAGGCTTGAGAAGCACATAAATTGTTCTGCCATCAGGGTGAAGATAGTGGGACAGCAAGAAGTTCTGTGTGTGAAAGCACTGAGCATCAGGCCAAGGAAGGATTAGGAAGCAACGACTATCTGAGTCAATATCATGTTACACATGCTTCTCCCTACTGAAAAACTGACTCCATCTCAGCATCAACTGAACACTTCTTCCACTACAACACTACCTCCATGACAGCTACTACATCACCTCTAAGTCAGAACTGCCTCAGTTGCAGCATTGACTCAATACTTATATAACAGCATTACTACCTCCACTGTAACAAACCTGTGAAGATCGGGTTAGATTTGATCTTCAGTAACACATGCTTGTCATAAGAGGCGACTAACGGGATTGGGTAGTCAGGCTTGCTGACTTGGTTGACATGTCATCATATCCCATTTGCGCAGATCGATGCTCATGCTGTGGATCACTGGATTGTCTGGTCCAGACTCGATTATTTACAGACTGCCGCCATACAGCTGGAATATTGCTGACTGCGACGTAAAACTAAACTCACTCACTCCATGGGCCACTACCTCGACCACAACGCCACCTCCACTGTAATACTATCTCCACTACAACACAACCTCCACCTTAACTGCAACACAGCCACACAATAGTGCCACTTTTAATCTAATTCTGCTATAACATCACCCCCACTGCAATAATACCTCCATTACAACTATACCACTACCTCCACTGCAATGCTACCTCCATTATAACTGTAACACTGCCTTCACTTCTGTGTTGTTTCATGTTTGTATTTATGTAAAGCACCGCTGAGCAGCTTTCAATTGCATATCAGATGCTATAGAAATGCAATATTATTATTATTATATATAGGACTTCAACACTAATCTTACTACAACTACAACACTGCTTCAGCACTAATTCTACTTTAACACTATCTCCACTACCTTCACTACAACGACCGCCTCCGTGGTGTAGTGGTTAGAGCGTCCGCCCGGAGAGCGGAAGGTCGCGGGTTCGATCCCCGACCGCGTCATACCAAAAGACGTTAAAATATGGTACTTGTTGGTCCCTGCCTGGCGCTCGGCATTAATGGGTACAACAAGGACTGGTCGACTCGGAGTCAGTATAATGTGTCTGAGTGGGGTATTCATGCTTCACTGCGGCATGGTGTCTCAGTGGGCTAGCACTATAAAACCAGCTTAAGTCTGGGCTAGTACAACAAGCCGCACATACACATACACATCGTCATATGAGTGAAATATTCTCAAGCACGACGTAAAACCCAATTTCAACTCACCTCACCTTTCATTACAACAACACCACATCTACTACAATTCCAAGACAACTCCCCTACAACTACAACCTCCACTACATCCGCAACTACCACTAGGTCCACACAGCATGTAGTGCAGTTTCCTGCCTGTTGATCTGGGCAGTCACACTAGTGACATTGACCTCAAATCTGCGTAAATCTGATAACATAAGAATGAGCAGGGATTGGGAAAGGCAGGGGCAGAATAAAAAATGGCCTATTAAAATTTTGAAGTTTACTATTGATACAAAGGGCAATGGCCCATTCTAAATTCAGAAAATGGCTAATAAACCTGAAAATGGCCCATTGTCAAAGTTCTCAATCCTAATCCCTGAAAGAGGTTCTCACCTTGCTCTCCAAGACTCTCTCTACAGCAGCTCTACCCTCCTTCCTACAGCTAAAACGTTACCAGGTAAGGTGTCAAATGAATTTAAGCATGTGTGCTCAAGTAAATCCTTCACTGCACTCCAGTAAACGAATGACACTAAATCAGCCTAATCTAACTCTGGTCACAGATGACAGTTGGTCTTATCATGCTGCCACTTAAACAGCTGTTTGTTATTACTTTACTAAAATACATTCAAACCTTGGTGAGTGGTGTGTTAAGTGCTGCCATTACTACTATTCCAGTCACATCACATACAATGGTGCCTGTTGTTAAAAACAACTTGCAAACACATTATCATAACCGATCAGTAAAGAGCAGTAAGAGGGGAAAAGATAAAAAATACAACCTACTCCTCATAGTTTCTTCTTTAAACACCAAGTCATGTGCAACTTTCATTAGCTATCAAGTTTGATGGGATTTTTTTACTGCCATTTGTGATATTATTCAACAGGAAGAAAACAATCTTCGAGAATTACACTTGAGCCCACGTGAAACAGCTGATCCATAAACATGTGAAACCACTCCTGAATTGTAAAATAAACAGCTGTTGACAATCAAACACAACAAGCATGATATATCAAAGCATGTGATAAAAGCATCATATCGCCATACTTTTGCCTGAAGGTATGAACCGTAATGAGCAGCAGCTTCCCACACAGAGCCTATATATATGTCTTTATACAAGAAACTTGACAGTGTTTCGTTAGCCTGATGAAAGTAGGCCAGTTTAGTGCTACCAAAGTGCAGTATGCCACACATAACAGACTGATGATTACTACAAACTCTGAAAATCAGGGCAGAGTTTCAAAATAAAGAGCAATACAAAAAATACTTGCCTGTTAACAGCAGCAGCCAGGAGACATTGATAGGATAATTAAACTGTGATACAAGGAATGAAAGCAGATCACCTGTCTTGTAACACTGACTGAATAAACACAGTAACAGCGTTTAAGATACGGAGGGGAGAAATAACATAACCATCCTCATCAGACAACAGGTTGGGTGGAACGCACTTCTTTCATCTCGTATAAGACAACAACTTCCTCTTTATTGTATACAATACTTCTTTCAGCAAACTGTGCAGTTTGACTGTGATACCATGCATGGAGAAAGAGCAATGCCAATGGACTATTATTTATCTATTACCATCATTATTACTCTGATGTTATACATGTGTTATGGTAGTGCTATTTGTACTTCTGAAGTGGAAAACCTTCCAGATATAAGGATCAGATGTATGGTTGAACAACTTCTTTCTTTACGATGAGGAGCGACATGCTTGCACTACCACATTGTAATAATGAAGTCTACCAAAGCATATATCATATCCTTACTTAGTACTAAAACTTCTATATGCCTCCTAAAGAAGAAATCTTTCAAATGGTGTGCTGCTTGCTATGGGGAATTAGTCAGCAAAGAGCCAATCACAGTCTTATTGACACAAGCAGAATAGCAATTTCTTACATATAGTCGGTACAAACCCCTGTGGTGAGGGTAAGGGACATAGCCTTGTTTGGGGAGTATAAACACTACTGCCTAACATCCCCACTATTCAACTAAAACTTAAACAATCAACAGAATTTGATTTACTATTGCTACATAATGGGGGCTGCCCTACTATAATTGAATGACCAGACAGGACAGAGTACATAATCCCGTTAACTGAACTGGCAATACATCTTGTTGACACATTTACTGGATGCTTTGAAGGAGATTATCATATTAAATAGGCCTGCTCATACAGAAGCTAAATCTCAATTAGTCTAAACTGAAGTATCAGCTCAGTGTCATTCTAATATAATATAGGTGACGGCAGGTATAATGGTATAAAATAAGTCAAGTCAATGTATGAAACTACGTAGACATAACATTTGTGCAAGTGAATAGTATGTCTATGAGATGGGTTCTTATCAAATTAGGCTGGTATATATCTATATATCACCTGCTCCTGAACATGCTTAACCTACGGTAATAATTTTATATTTATATTTTCCCAACATCTGAATCCTAATACATCACCTGTTGTGGATCTATAATTCATGATGAAAATATATATAAATGTTACTCCATGATTTAGGAGTGAGTGAGTTTTACGCCGCTTTTAGCAATATTCCAGCAATATCATGGCGGGGGACACCAGAAATGGGCTTCAAACATTGTACCCATGTGGGGAATCGAACCCAGGTCTTCAGCGTGATGAGCGAACGCTTTAACCACTAGGCTACCCGACCGCCCGATTTAGGTGTGTATGTTACAGTGGCAGCAAGTAGATTTACACTTGACAGTGTGGGAGCATTGATTTACACATCTAGCAAATATCACGTAGCCTGTTCATCATCAAATCTGGATCAGAGAAACTGGTATAATGCATGTGCAATGATATGCCTTTTTTTAGTAAGTGTCTGAAAATATCACCTTACTTCAGAGATCCACATGCCTTCAAGAAGCTACCAGCAGTGAGTGAGTGCATGAGTGCGTGAGTGAGAGAGATTTTATTCCATTTTAAGCAATATTCCAGTTACATCTCAGCCCAAACTTGGCTTCACACATTTACCCATGTAAAGATTTGAACCTGGGCCCTAATATGACAAGCAAATGCTTTAACCACAAAGCTACTCAAACACACCTAAAGAAGCCATAAAAGCTGGATAACAGATGATCATTATCTATACCATTGCTTGACAAATACCAAAACAACCTACCCTTGTTTCAGAGAACATACACTTATCCCAAGGCAAATGCTTTTCACAGTGGTTGACTCCTGACAACCCCCAGGCCTTCACCTCTGCCACTGGAAGTTGGACAACAGTGCCGATCTTTGTGTTGACATGTAAAACAGCCCCAACTCCAGGGTATTCCTTTCTGCTGGCTTCAATACATGATTGACACTACTGACATACTTCCATTCATCACCAACTGTGGCATGTCACTGCATAGTAAAGTGACAGGGTAGATACAAAAAAACTGTGTGGTAGGGGGTAGGTAGCCTTGCCCCAAGGCTGCACTGAAGACTAAGGCCATGGATGTAGAGTAATTCCAACCATTTTGAAGAGGCACGTCTAGAAAAGCAGACAGTACATCTAATGATGCTAGTCTGTTAGAGGGATATTAATATTTTTTAGAAATTATCATTTAAACTATTAATTATTACCTTAGAGACTTGTGCAAGTCTAGACTAATCATTCACATAGCGGGCACTGGAATATTACTCTGTCTTTATTAATTGGTTTTTATGGGTTTTTTCCCCCGATCGACCGATCTATGTTCAGAATTTGGTGGCTATGTGAAACACATTAAAAGAGCGATGCCCTAAGAAATATTCCAGTTTCACAAACGCCTGTTAACATTAACTCTGATGAGTTATAAACACAGTTCACAATATACAGGCTGTTCTGGTCATTGCAATGTAAATAAAACAAAAATAATGTAGGTTTAGTTTGGGCAAGGCCATCACAGTTTGACAGTGTCAGAAACACTGAAGTCAGGTATCACCTATGTATCACTGTCACAGCTACATTGTCAGGATCTCCGTGATCCACTGTCAGGCCCGCACAATTATGAACTTGACACAGTCCCCATAAAGTCTGCATCATGATTAAACCCAACCACATTAAAATGATTAAAGCAACAAAGTTAGTGCAAGTGCACTCAGTTTGTAGCAGTCTCCACTGAAAATGCATTGAATTTTAAGTTCATGCTGCACACTTTACATAGATTGGGTCTCATCAGTAATACATGTATATGCGACTATTTCCACATAAGTAGTAGTTCATAGTTTGGTTGATATCTGATAGGGTTTCTTCAGCAGGACTCTGTATCGTTGTATCTGTCAACAATACACTCATCAATTCCTTATACATCTTTACCAGTAGTCCCTGGATTCTTGACACTTACTGCTGAAGTATTGGAATCTGAGGACCACTTAATCATTAGATTATATGCTAAAGGTTACGACAAGAAATCCTTGACTTTCCATGTTTCATGAATACTTACATACACTGACACAATCCTCATTAATTAAGTCTTACAAGCATGGGACTTTGAAAACCTAGTCAGCTACAGACTTCCACACCAGGTTGAGGGGAGCGGGAAAAACATCGGACCTCATCAGCCAACAAATAACAAGAATGTTTTCATATTTCAAGTTTGATATAAGACAGTTTACTCCAGACACCTGCATTATTAGTAAACCTGTTTCTCTCTTCATAACATAATTACATGTAATAGGATTCTATGAACATAGACAAAGTTGTAGATGATTGACCTTGATGAAGTTCACCCTGTCTGATGCAATTCTCATGAATGAAAGTAGCTGTCACAGTCGAGGACAAAAACTCCTCACAAATCCTTCACAACCGGATTGACGCTATCAGAAGACAAGGTGTTGGGTCACGTTGAGATCTGCACGTAGTCTGAAAGGAAGTGATGTCTGTGCTGTCTCACGCTGATGCAATATTTATTTTTCTACAGTTGTCGAGTCAGTTGCCGTGGCTGTTGACTAATCGTGTTGGTATCGTGTTAATTACAGCCAGGACATCAACCTAACATACATAATAGGTTACTGCCACTACATTAACATAATGAAATATCAAAACCAACAATGTATTTTTGTAAAGTTTAAAAAACACATGCCTTGGTTTTATACCTGAATAATCACAAGCTGAAGTTAAGATAAACAAAAGGAAACTAATTTTATTAAAACAATTATCTTATTTGTGTTTTTAATTCAATACACAAATTACTCTAACCACAGATGCCATACTAACTGAACTTAAATCCTCAAATGAAGAAAGAAATATGATATAATAAATTTTCAGTTAAAAGCACATATTATTCTGACAACAGAACTAACAGCCTATGATATATCACTCCACAATGATTAACTAGAAATACTGAAGTATAACACACAAAAAGTCAACAATATCTGAGCTACTTCCCTATACAATGTTAACAAGCCCTACCTGAGCTACTTCCCTAAACAATGTAACAAGCCCTATTTGAGCAATCATTAGCGTTATGTGTGAACGAGAACTAACAGTGAGTAGTGTCCGCTCTTACCTTCAGACCTGCATCCCACAAATACAGAAAGTGTTCATAGCCAATACATTTATGGAGCTCCAGTAATTCCCCTAATCCTCAGGACAAAATATATCCTGTTTGAGAAGCATGCTGTCTTGCAGGACGATACAACCTTGCACTGACATGACTCGAATGTCTGAACACGTAGTTTGTCCCAATCACAGCCTAGCAACAGGGCTAATCAGCCTACCCGTAAGATATCCGGTGAATAAAACGTAACCTGATCACTATGAATACGCAGGTTTTGTGACGATTGATAAAATAAGATTATGAGATTAACTACAGCAGGCGTGGAGGCATGGCTGACTGACTGACTGGCTGGCTGGCTTATTATATAAGAAATAATCCTTGATCAGAACTACTGTTACTGATCAGAAGTTAAGCACATGTGAAACCTTACACCAGTATTGTGATAAACCACTACATTAATTATGGTCACTGTGATCACAAGGGCCTGATAAGCCACAAATGGGGGATCTAACCAGCTTGGATAATCCTAATCTAGGGCCACTGTGAAGGGACAAAGGTACCATTAATAAAACAAAAACTTGGATTAGCTATATACACATTAAAGCTTTAAATTAACAGTTATTTACTGTAGTTCACTGGTGTGTATTTATCACCTGCACACTTCTGGTTATCTAGTATTGCACAAGTCTGTCTGGACTAATGCTTAGTCTCTGAATACATATAACTTTGATAGAAAAAAACCCCAACCACTTCCTTTTAAATTGAAAAGCAGCCCCAGTGAAATTGGAGACTCTGAACCTGAGGAAATCTAGACTTGCTTGATTTAGGCCTTTAACATTGCAGTAGACTAACATCTACTCTCTGAAATGAATATATTTTACAGAAAAAAAAGTGTTCATAAATAAAAATCAAAATCAAAAGCCAAGAGACTTTCTTCATTTTCATAAACTGTTGTTATCAATACTTGCCACATATTCTAGACTTGCATGGGCTTTGTTGGATATATTTGTTATGACAGACTAGCATTGCAGAAAAGGAAAATAATGTGACACAGACTAGAGTCTGTAAGGCAATATGAAAGGCTGAGGTGTGATCAGACTCCTTTTTAGGCCGACAAATAATTATTTAGAAACCTCTAAAAATTGTAAAGACATTTGTTGGTAATGCTGGTCAAATGATCAATACCAGCCTTTAAAACATTAAGTTAATATCTAGGAAATTACTTTTAGAAATGATTGTTTATACAATTAAATAAGACTAATTTTATGCCAAATGTCCACATTTTAGTTACCCTCCAAGAAAATCAGTTTATATCAAAACCATTTTCATGTTAAAATATCGTCAGAATGTTTTAAAAAACATATGAAATGGTTAACCCATTGTGTTCATGCCTTGACATGCTCAGAGTCCAACACATAAAATATAAGTTCTAAGCTGTGAGTCATATGAGCACTTTCAGAAAAAATATTTATATCGCAGCCATAAAAATGAAATTGCCATGCTCGTTCCTTTACTTGACAGAGCTCTTGTCTCATTTGTTATAAGCAGGACCTACACTATGCAACGTACTTCAGGTCAGACTGGTCTGCTTGTATATCTGCAAACTGGTACTACAACAGTTAAAAATGGGGCTTTGGGGTTGACAGAGTGAAATGTTCTAATGACAGGACATCTTAAAGGTATATAAGGGCTAACAAGTAGAGTCACCATAACCTGATGGCACAAATCAGTCTACACTTGAACAAATAGTGTTCATAGGTGTCCGATTCAACCCTTTGAAAACTGAGCGATATTCCAGCAAAATCACAGCGGTTTCTAAAGTAAGTACAATGCAAACCAGTGACAGGAAGCATGAGTGAGTGAGTGAGTTTAGTTTACGCCACTTTTAGCAATAGTTCAGCAATATCACTGACAGCTACACCAGGAATGGGCTTCAAACATTGTACCCATGTGGGGAATCGAACCCGGGCCTTTGGTGTGACGAGCGAATGATTTAACCACTAGGCTACCCCCGCCCATCCCGAAAAAGCATGAGCAACAACCAGAACTCACAAGATGTAATGCCACAAATCAGGCAAGTCATTATGTGAACCTGGCCATTGGATCCATTTCAGTCCAATAAACGCAGGACATTTCTACCCAGACTCTCTACACGACCATTTAGATGAAACCCTTGCCACACACCCCTCAATCTGTCACTAGCTGTCCCTCAACTACATCTTGGTTGTTGGTTGGTTGGTTGGTTGGTTTGTTGTTTAACGCTGCACTCAGCAATATTCCATCTATATGGCGGCAGTTTGTAAATAATCGAGCCTGGACAAGACAATCCAGTGATCAACACCATGAGCATCGATCTACACAATTGGGATACGATGACATGTGTCAACCAAGTCTGCAAGTCTGACCACCCGATCCCGTTAGTCGCCTCTTACGACAAGCATGAAGATCA